TCTTTGTACAAATGCTATTTACTCTGCCTATATAAGGCATGACATTTAGTATAATAAAGTAACAAATAATGTCATAACAACCACCAAAGTATTAGGTGCCTCTTTTCTTTCTTGCACCAGATACACACAAATGTACATAAGTCTTAGCAGCTCAAGTTATAGGAAGAGGGATAGCAAACTATCATCTTAAAGAATGTGTCTACTTTTTAATATTAAAATAACAATGCAACAACAATAATAGTTAACATTTATAAAGGGCTTCCTATTAGTCAGAAAGTATTGTGCTAATTGTCTTAGATCTATGTCATTCAATCCCCCAACAATCCTGTAAGGGTGGAAATATTATCCCTATATCACCTTCTCCAACAGATTAGCTTTAAATGAGGGTGGGAAAATTAACCCACTAGAACTGGACTGGCCAGGTATCCCAGCGCCTTTTAAATGAAAGGCTTGAGAAGGTGAGATTTACAACAGTTCCTCAATGAACAGTTGAAGGTTGGCTAAAGAATTAATTCCAGGTACTGGAGATGAAAGGAATTTTTTGTTTGTTTTTATACTAAGATTTGCCTTTAGCAGGTTAACATGATAAGGCTTCAGCCTCAGCTTCCAAAGCAATTAGCACATCTCACAATATCTGGCTCTTTCTGAAGGAAAACAACAAAATGATGCAATGGGGTGGAATCAGCTCTCTTACCGGATAATCTTTTCTGCAGTATTTTATCCTTTAAATGTTTTACTGAATCTTTACCAGGATGATCTCATTTAAAACAATCTTAAAATAAACAAAATTCACCTTTTCCATGAGAACCTATGATCTAGAGCCCACTCAGACCTTTCTGAGAAGATGGAATGATTCAGATCAAGGGACTTTTCAAACTACTTTGTCATTAACGTTTATTCCAATTAAAGAAATGTGAATTCAGAATTAATGCAAGGTGAAACCTTAAAGTATGTGGCAAAAGAAATGCTATTAAGAATTTAATTAAAATGTTTATGGTACCTATGCTTTGTACTACAATATTAACAAAATAAAAAGAACATTCTGAAGACAAATTTTGATAAATTCTGGTCTGTAAAAATCAATTCATTGGTTCAGTCCCCACTGGAGAGAAGCAAGTTGCTTTGTTACCATCAGTTAAAAATCAAAAGAGCTTGTTTTCCTCTTCTGGATGTGACCATCACAGCACTAGATAACATGTACAAACCTAATTCCTTTTAATCAGAGAATGTAGTAAACTAACCGAGACTCTGGTATTTAGCAGGGTTTTACAGATCATGTACTATAAAACATTTTCTTTTGAAAATAAAAATTTGATAATCTATTTCAAAAAATATCAATTGAAAAATATGTAAACTGCAACAAAGTTTCCAAACAGAAGGTCAAAAACCTTGGCCGAGCCATACATGTAACATTAAATAACAGCTAGTTTTATCAACTAAAACACTCACTAAAAATAATGATTTCTGTATGTGTATACTGAGTATAACACTTCAAAATTTCAATAAAAATTGCTGTTTTGTCACACATTATCAAAGTCTGTTCTCTAAATAATCTGAAGAAATTTCAATTATAAGGCAAATGAAGACTAAAATTAGAAACAATGCATCTTAAAGTTTTCAGAGACCTACATATAAATAATTTCCAAACATAATTTTTATGTGCTTATGTTTTGGAAAAAATTTTCCCTGAGTATTCTTTCTGCTTGGTTAGAAAAATTAAAACACGATCTACAGAATTTTGATTTCTCTTGAATGTATGCAATTTTTCATCTATCAAATGTATTTGGGAATCTTTCCTTCCAGATATCTCTAAAGTAGTTAGTAATTGTAACTTTTAAAGGGCTATTTGAATGGCTATAGGAATATGGGTGGGTTTTGGAGCCCTGAGAACTGTATAGTGGGTATCTCATACAACTGAAATGATTTACCATCCTAACACTATCAATGGTTATTTTAACAAATTCAGAATGGCACTGGCTTCACAGAGGAAAGAGGTAATAAGCAGGAATTGCAGCTCAGATGACCAACAGATAAGCATTAAAAAGCAAAAGAAAAAAAAGTTGGATTAACATTGTGCTTTCCATAGAATAACGCTGAAAAAAAATTAACCCTTCTGCCCAACACAGGAAATACCTCACCATGAAACTTTATTTAATGAAGTCTTGAGATCTGTCACTCCTTAATATTCACGCAAACTTAAAATTAGCATCATTGGGAGTTTCATCACACAAATTGCACTTCTCAATGCTATCCCAAGATTTACAGCCCAAAAGACACACTACAATCAGTGCACATGCATGGTACCACTACCAGCTGTGTTCCTCTAATTTTCTAAGATCTTAAAAATTCCTAGCTATTTGAGAGTTTAGGCCTCTTCTTTTTCAAATAAATAAATTAAGGATAACAAATATTAGGAGTCTTAACTATGCAAATGTGTAAATATTAATTTTCTACATAGCCTAGCATCACACTAAAGGAACATTAGATTTAAGAAGTTTCAATTTACAATAAGATTTCATAAGACCTAACTATATACTTCCCTTAGCATTATGATTTGTGTGGTTTGCAAGAATAATTAATAAATAACTTAAAACATTTAGAAGTCATCGTTCTGAAGATCTTCAAGAAGTGAGCAATTTCTGATGTCCAAAGGTGTGGCTTCTGTCTTTTTAGTTAAGGTGCTTTACGCAGGGCGCCCTGGACCCCAACGGCTTTTAGACCTAGATTTTTTAAACAGAAAAGAAGGTCAGAGGTGCTTCTAAAACAACAGAAAGTTACTGTTGCTTAGGTTATACTTGCTTGACGGTATCAAATTTAATGAAACTTCATGTAGCTCCATAATCCATTTTTAAAAACACTTGGAATCAGATGTATTTTGGAATTCAGATATTTTTTGATTTGGGGCGGATAATATGGTACATATATTGTACATTATAGATCTGGAGCAGTGCCTCATAATCAAACACATTAATGTTTCTTCAGTAACAAGTGAGATAAACAAAAACTATAAGTAGTATCATAGTAGCTCAGTTTAGGTTTGAGCTGACACAGACATATGAAAAAATCTTCTGAGTTTCTAAGCTTTCTGGATTTCAGAATTGCAGATATGGCATTTGGATCTATAGTAGTAAGGATAAAATCTCAGAAACTCTTAACCTTTAAAAGAAAATTTGTGATATAAAATGACACAGGACCCACAAGGTAGGTTTATAGAGAGAAATAAAATAAAACAAGGAATGAGAAAGACTTCAATGATTTATCTAAAGTAATATATAACCGATAAACAGGACAAAAAGTCTAATTCACAGTAGGACTATAGCTTGCATTTCTATCAGCAGTTGGGTCAGAACAGAGCCTAATTAATAAACAGAAAACTTTTAAAAAAACTGTACTTTCATTAAATTTTGTGCTTATGATCTTTTTAAGTCTTAACTTTTAAGTTGAAATCTGGTTCTTATTGATGTCTTGATCTAATCCTTGAAACAAAACAAAACAAAACTCAAATTATGTGCTTCTAGTATATAATTGTCCCTAAAAAAGGATCACTTCAAAGTCAATGGTATTCTGAATTTGTTTATGCTTATTTACCTTGTGTTTTTCTCAGTGCTGCCTTGACGTGCACTCACTGGCACTGAGGCCTTAATTTGCGCTTCAAGCCTGGAATAAATACCTCCTGCAAACTGCAAAATAAAGGAGCAAATTCATTTATTTTTACAGAATCAATAACAGTTGTGCTTTATAAAAATGACATTTTGATTTTTAAAATTCAGGCTCTTTGACTTATAATTTACATGTATAATTTTACAAACATTAAAATTCACCCTTTTTAGTAAACATTTCTGAGTTTTGACAAATGCATACAATTGTGTAACCAATGTTACAATGGAGACAGAACAGTTCCATCACCCCAGGAAAATCCCCTTGTGCGTCTTTTTAAGTCAAATGATTTGACACTACCACTACTTGGTAACTGCTGATCTATTTTATGTCCTACAGTTTTGCATTTTCCAGAACATTACAGAACTAGAATCATACAGTCTGTAGCCTTTTGAATCTGGCTTCTTTTACTTAGCATAATATAGAAGAGACTTATTGATGTTGAAGCATGTATCAGTGATTTGTTCTTTTTAATATATACCACAGTTTTAATCATTTTCCAGGTGAAGGACATTTGGGTTGTTTCTAGTTTTTGATGATTTTGAATAAAGCCACTATAAACATGTATGAATTGATCTGTATGGTGAGTAAATATGTAATGTTATAAGAAACTGCCAAACTGTTTTTCCAAAGTGATCATTCCTTTTGCATCCCTACTTGCTATATATGAGTTCGAGTTGCTCCATATCCTTGCCAGTATGTTTAAAATTTTCTTTTTAGATATTCTTGTTGGTGTATAGTGATATATCATTGAAGTTTTAATTTACATTTCTCTAATGACTAATGATGTTGCATCTTTTCAAGTGCTTATTTGCCCCGTATCCTTCTTTCAAGAGGTGTATAGTTAATCTTTTGCCCATTTCTTTTTATTGAATTATTTTATTGAGTTTTGAGAGTTCTTGATATATTCTAGATACAAATCCTTTACCAGATAGGTATTTTATACGTATTTTCTCCTAGTTTACAGCTTGTCTTTTCATTCTATTAACAGTTTTTCAAAAAGAACAACTTTTAAATTTTGATGAATTTTTTTCTTTTATAAACCATGGTTTTGGTGTTGTAGCTAAGAAATATTTGCCTAGTCCAAGGTCATAAAGACTTTTTCTTATGTTCTGTTTTAGGAGTTTTATAGGGAACCAAATTTTTTTAAAAATTAGGGGCAAAAGTTATTATAGTTATATAATATCAATAGTAATAATACATGTTATGACTAATATGTAATTCTAGTAAAAGTACAGGTACTTCTAGTCATCATTTTCAGCAAGATAACATCTTATTTTAGAGATAACATCTGAGCATTGCCTTCAGGGTTGATCAAAATCAGCAACTTCCAGCAAGTTGCCCTCTGGATAGTTGGCATTTGGTCAGCTGCAGTTAATCTACTCTTGGTGTGTCATTACACTTTCAGTGATAATGTACTTTACTATGTGTGTTATCCATGGACCAGGGATAACTGGAGGTGGCAGAAAACTTTTACGTGAATAAACTGGTTAACTAGTACAGAATATAAAATATATACAAATATTTAAATTATTTTTTTAAAATTCTGCCTAAAACATCTTTACACTCCTCATGATAAAAATAAAGTAGGGTCTATGGCCATGCCACACTGAATGTGCCTGATCTCATCTGATCTTGGAAGTTAAGCAGGATCGGGCCTGGTTAGTACTTGGATGGGAAACCGCCTAGGAATACCAGGTGCTATAGGCATTAAAAATAAATAAATAAGTAAAGTAGGAAAGTATATCTAAGCAAGCACAGTATACTAGGTACACAATCCTTACTTCTTTTGCTTCTTTTGACTTGACTCGGTCCAGATCACCCAATCTCATCTTTATTAGGTGCCCTGTAATTTCAGACATCCGTCGTTGATCTGAAGGTAAAAAATAATAAACCTTACTTTTTTATAAGAATGACTTATCACTTTTATTTCTTAAAAAGGATTGCAATCATCAAGAGTTTATGAAACTATCACAAAATATTATTTTACAGGCACACACATCTATTTATCTTTGAAGAATTTTAGGCAACAAGTGGCAAAATGGCTCATACTACATGGAAAATCGTTCTGTGTTTAAGATTATTGTAAATCGGCCTAAAACACATTCTGTCATCTTTGGAGTGAAAGTAGTGGGAAAAAGTCAGTGCATAAAACAATATGTTATCTAGTAATGAAGCTCTAATTGATGCCTAAGGGAATGTGCTAATTCTGGACCTTATTCCAGTTGAAACCTTTAAAGTGATTCGGCATGCTTCATAAAAGATTTTTATTATTATTTAGACCTAATTTGTACATTACCCAAATAATAAAACTTACCATCTTCTCTTTGTGCATCTTGGTTGAATCTCAAAGATCTTGTAGCATCCCATTTATTCTTCTGCATACTTACACTATTGAAAAAATTACACGAAAGTCAGCACTGATGCTTTAAGAGTGGACATCTGATTGGGGTTAAGAGTAATACTCACACGAAAGGAGACACATCTCTAGTAGTTGACTGAAAAAAAGTTGACAACAGTAAGGCCCAGTTAGAACATATTTACTGCTTAGTGTTATAGTTAATAATAAAAAGAGTTTACATTTATGGAGTGCAAGATACTATACCAAGAGCATTACAAGTATTATTTCATTTAAGTCTTGGCAGCAACCATATGAGACAGGTGCTATTATTATCTCTATAATAACATAGGTTCAGAGAAGTTAAGAAACTTGTCTGAAGAGAAAGAAACCTAGAATTTGAACCCAGTTTTATTTGTCTGCCCTTGAAGTCCCACTTATGTAACCTTTTAGATTTTACCCATTTGTGTGTCTGTAGTACTTAACATGAAGGTAAATGTACAACCTGTTCAATGTAATTGTGTGAAACTTGTCTCAACTCCAGCCTTTCATATATTTTTGGTTTCTCTTTCAGCCAACAGTGGTTATTACTGTCCTCTTATTCCTACCTTGCTTTTTACCCCTTCCTTTGAAATCACAGGAAAATAAGAATTATTTTAAAAGATCATAAAATATAATTTACTTTAAAAAATCTTAAAGTCTGTATTATTTAAAAGTATATTTACTTATTTTATTTTCTATTTATTTATCTTATTTTAAATTATGTATGCCATTTTTTGAATAAATAATATTGGTTCAAAATTCAAAAGGCATAAATAGCACATATAGTAAAAAGCCTGTTCTCATTCAGTTCCCTTCCTTAGAGGCAATCTTACCAATCTTACCAATTTCTTGTGTAGCTTTCCAGAGAGATTTCATGTATATACAATGAAATTCATACATATTCCTTCATCTATTCTACACAAATGGTAGCATAATATGCCACTATACACTGTTCTGCACTTTTCTTTTTTCACCTGTCAATATATCTTAGAGATTTTTAAAATCAGTCTTTATAGAACTTCTTCATTCATTTTACACTGCTAGTATTCCATTGTGGTATTCATTACTCTTTTTTTTTTTTTTTTTTTCCCTTCAGATTTTTCCTGGCTACACTTGCTTGCTTATTTCTCAATATAAACTTTAGAATAGTAACAGATAACTTAGAGTTACCTTCTCCAATGCTTTTTCTTTCTTATGACCACAGGGTGAAGACATCTGTTTTTTTGGTGGTTTAGTGAACTTCTTTGGCTTCTCCTTTTTCCCTAATAACAGAAAATTAATGTTATGAGCATAAATCCCATATATTTCTCCAATGTACTTGTTACTTCCAAACAATAAAAACATTAAAAAAACATTGTTTTTTAAAACTAATAAATTACCTCTGAATAAAAAGTAAATATGTGAGGAAGTCAAACTGAAAGTGCTTAACAGGGGTTCATTTTAATTACTTTTCTTCTATTTGGCGTAAACCTTTGGGGGAAAAAATGAGGACAATGAATTCAAAGTTCTAGTGAAATTAAATATAGAAAAATGTTAAGGAAAACTATACATATTTATTTCTCTGAATTTACTTTGAAAGTGAAGTCATCTCCTAATTCTAAAATTTTCATGTAAAAAATAACTATAACCGAGAAAAACACAATTTGAGAATTAGAGAAGAACTCAAAAAATCTTTAAAATGTTTTTTGCTCAGGCAGGAGATGGGGCTATGAAGGTAAAAATGGAGGTAGGAGAGAAATGATATTGGGAAGGAGATTTGAAACAAACTTATCCTGGACTTGGGCATTCTTGCAGTCAGTATTCTGAACTTCTGTCTGGCTGACAGTTTAGTAGAAAAAGGAAAGGGGCAGAAAAGAAGAAGAGAAAGAAGCATTTTTCTAAAAACAATGTTTAAAGATAAGGATACTATACAGTGGATCACTATTTCTCAAACATCAATTATGACAGTGTAAAGAGGTTACACAATTCCTTCCAAAGAAAACTATGATGAAAACAGAACAAAGATATTATAAACAACCATTTCCAGGCACTGGCAAATAATTAAAGGCAGGTAGAAACTGAATGTTTACTTTTGAAAGATGCATGAGGTAAAAACTTTATGGCCTTCTTGCCTGAGGGCACTTCTCAACCTCCCAGCTCAGGGAAGAAAATTGCAACTATATGAGCTCTAGAGAAAAGATGATAGAGTTCAAAGAAACAGATAAGCTGGAAATTTAAAGGAGAAATTTAGACCTGAGATCTAAAATGTGAGTATAAACTCTGCCCAAATTCCTACCTAAGTGTTAAACTATATAAGTGTATGGAAGACCCTAGGAAGTTCAGCTAAAAAGGCAAGCAGAAACTAGGGTGGGGTATCAACTCTTGCAAGACAGAACTGCTCTTGGTAAGATGTGGGAGTTTCTTGTACATTTGACTGAATGGTTTCCCCAAATTACATACAGCTTGAGCTTCTGACAGCTGAAGCCTTAGTGAAGGTCAGACGTGGGACTGGAGAAACAACTAGAAATCTAAAGGAAACCCATAAAGCAAGGGAACCACTAAGCGAGTAAGTCCCCAATCTGAATATAAATTCTGTCTGAATCCTTGGCTGACTACTAAACTGCATAGGTGGGTATGATCCCTGGGTAGCAGGCTAAAGCAGCAGCAGTTGACAGCTGAAAAAAACAAAAAACAAAAACAAAACAAACAAAAAACAACAAACCTGTGCAGAGACACCATCCACTGCATCCTATGGGGAAGACAGACTTTGCAGTTTGGGTCAGGCAAGTTAAATGCCTACTAGAACAAAAAAACCAATAATCCTCACAAAAACAAAACAGATTTCAGAGTTGCACAGAGATAATCTACAATGTCCATTTTTCACCTAAAAGTTAGGAGGTAAAGAAACTTAAAAGTACAACCCACTCAGAAAAAGAAACATTCAACAGAAACGAATTCTGTGAGAGCCTGCATGTTGGATTTAGCAGATAATGACTTCAAAGCAACTATTATAAATATATTCAAAGGAAAAATGATATTATTGAGTAAACACATGGAGAATCACAACAAATAAATAGAAACTATAAGGAAACTCCAGCTGAAAAACACATTAAATATAAATGAAATAAATACTCCAATCAAAAGACAGAGATTGTCAAACTGGATAAAAAAGCAATTTCCAACAATATGCTATCTGCAAGACATACACTCTAAATTGAGAAACACAAAAAGGATGAATAAAATAAAAGAATAAAAAAAGATATGTCATCTAAACTTTAAACAAAAGAAGTTTAGAGTGATTATATTAATACTGAACACGAGAGATCAAGACAAGCAGTTCTACTATAGATGAAGAGGAATACATCATACTGATGAGTCAATACACTATAAATCTATATGTGCCTAATGACAAAGCTCTAACATACACGAGTAAAAACAGACTTGAAAGAAAAAAATATATAAATTAACAATTATAGCTGGAAATTTCAACACCACTCTCCTATTAATTGATAGAACAAGTGAAAATGAGCATGATTATAGAAGACTTGTACCAGTCAGTCAAACCAACTTGACTTGACATTTATAGACTACTCCGCCAATAACAGCAGAATTTACATTCTTTTCATGCATATCTGGAACAATTCTCAATATAATTTAGAGGATGAAACCACAAAGAGTATGTTCTCTTACTATAATGGAATTAAATTAGAAAGCTATAACTGAAAAGTATCCAGAAAATCTGAAAATATTCGGAAATTAACAATGTACTACTAAACAACATATGAGTCAAAGAAAAATCATAAGAGAAATTAGAAAATATTCTGTATTTAATATATATGAAACAAGATATATCAAAGTCTATGGGAAACACTTAAAGCAGTGCTTAGTGTGAATCTTACAGCTTTAAATGCTTATATTAGAAAAGTAAAACAACAATGATTTAAGTTTCCACTATAAAAAGCTAAAAAAAGAGGAAATTAAGATGAAATTAATTACAAAGAAGGAAATACTAAATATAAGAGTGAACAAATCAATGAAATATAAACTAGATAAGCTATAGAGAAAATCAATGATATTTTAAAAAGCTGGTTCTTGGAAAAGATCAATAAAACTAATAAACCTCTAGCTAAACTGATCAAGAAAAAAAGGGGATAAAACACAAATTACCAATATCAGGAATGAAACAGGGACATCACTATAGATCTTTCAGACAAAAGATAATAAAAAATAAAAATTTATGCCAATAAATTTGACACTTGGATTAAATGGACAAATTCCTTTGAAAGACAGAAATTATCAAAAACAGATTCAAGAAGAGAAAACTTGAATAGCACTATATTAATTAAAGACACTGAATTCATATTTAAAAACCTTCCTATAAAGAAAATTCCAGGCCCCGATGACTTCACTGCTGATTTTTATCATATATTTAAGGGAGAAATAATACCACACAAATTCTTTCAGAAAAGAGAATGAAGGGAATACTTTCCAGCTCATTTTATGAGGTCGGTATTACTCTGATACCAAAACTTGAAGAAAATATCATTTAAAAAGCTACAAATATCCTTCATGAACACAAACAAAAAATCTGTAACAAAATATGAGCAAGTCAAATACAGTAATATATAAAAACAAAAATACCTCATGACCAAGTGGAGTTTACCCCCAGAAGATGGGTATAACGCTTTCAAAAAATCAATGTAATATATCATATTGATATAAAAAAGGAGAAAAACTATAGATCAATAAGCGGAGAAAAAGCATTTGACAAAACTCAATATCCATTTACTATAATAACTCAGCAAACTAGAAATAGAAAGAAAACTCCTCAACCTGAGAAAAGGCATTCATGAAAAACCAACAATAAACATTACATACTTAATGATTAAAGATTGAATGCTTTCCTCCTAAGACAGGGGAGAAGACAACGATGTCTTCTATTTAACATCAGGTCCTAACCAGTGCAAAAAGACAAGATAAAGAAATAAAAGGCATACATATTAGAAAGTGAAGAAAAATTAAGTGAATTTATTAGCAAGGTTATAGGTCACATGGTCAATATACAAAGATCAATTGTATTTCAATATTACCATCAATAAACAACTGGAAAAAATTTAAAAATCTACTTCCATTTATAACAGCACTAAAAATACTTAAGAATAAATTTAACAAAAGATGTTCGACATCTGCATACTGAACTACAAAACACTGTTGAGAAACATTAAAGATGACTTAAATAAATGGAGAGATATTTCATGTTCATGGATTGGAAGACTTGCCATTGGGGAAAAAAAAATGCAATTCTCACAAATTGATGATATATATAGGTTCAACACAATCCCAATAAAAATCCCAGCAGTATTTTTGTAGAACTACCCACTCATTCTAAAATGTATAGGAAATGCAAATCACCTAGAAATATCAAAATAATCTAAAACAAAAGAACATTTTTGGAGGATTCACAGCACCAGATTTCAAGTCTCACTAAAAACTACAAAAATTAAGACAGTGTGGTATTGATATACTGATGTATAGACAGATATAAGATACAATGGAAGAGAATAGGGTTCAGAAATAGATCCATATGTAATGGTCAACTGAGTTTTTTGACAAAGGTGTCAAAGTAACCTAATGGGGAAAGAACAGTCTTATGACAAATGATTCTGGAACAACTGGCTATGCCTATGGTATTTAAATTAAAAAAAAAAAAAAAAAAAAGAAGTTGGAAGCTTGATGCAGCTCAAAATAATGCAACTTCTAGAAGAAAACATAGAAGAAAATCTTTGCGACCTTGGAATAGGTAAAAATTTCTTAGGTATTAAAGCATGAAACATAAAAGGAAAGTTAAAAAACTAGAATTTACAAAATTAAAAATTTTTGCTCTTCAAAAGACACCATTAATGTAATTAAAAGGCAAGTCAATGATTAGAGGAAAAAAGCTGCAAAAAATATGGACTTAAGAACTCTTACAATTTATTAATAAGGCAAACAATCCAATTAAAAAATAGGCAAAAGATTTAAGCGGATACTTCACAAAAAAGATAAACAGTCAATAAGCACATAAAATATGCTTAGAACTAAAATGGCTAAAGTTAAAAAAAACACAACACTAATACCAAGTATTGGTACAAATGTATAGCAACTGGAACTCTCATACATTGCTGCTGGGGTGCAAAATGGCACATTCACTTTGCAAAATTGCTGCTGGGGTGCAAAATGGCACATTCACTTTGGCAGTTTCTTATAAAGTTAAACATACACTTACCATATAACCCAGAAATTCCACTCCTAGGCATCTAGCTACCCAAGAAAAATCAAAACAGACGGCCACACAGACTTGTATGCAAATATTCACAGCAGCATTATTCAAAATAGCCAAGAACTGGATGGAAATAACCCAAATGTCCATGAAATGGTGAATGGATAAGCAAATTACGGTATATTCATACAATGGAATATTACCTTACAATAAAAAGGAACAAACTACTGATATACACAATATGGATGAGTCTCAAAAACATCATATTAAGTGAAAGAAGCAAGATACAAAACACTGCTCATGATTTCATTTATATGAGATGAGAAAAGGTGATAAGCAGATTAGTAGTTGCTTGGAGGTGGGAGTGGGGAAAGGGAACTGAATGTAAAGGGGCAAGAGGTAACGTTTTAGAGTGATGTTCTAGGTCTTGATTTTGGTAGTGGTTACACAACTCTATGCCAAAATTCATCAATGTGTACACTCAAAACTGAGAGAATTTTATTACATGTAAATTATACCTCAGACAACTGTGAAAAAACTCATATAACATAGTAACATTTTCTTGACTAATCAGGATTGAAAAATAATTGATAAAGGACTAATTTTTTCACTTGGAGATTCAACATGTAAAGAAAAATTATATAAAACTTGGAAATAAGCCAAAGGAAGGATTGCATGTCCTTTCAGTGGCATACCAGAGGACTGTTTAACATGCCCACCCAAGAATTATTTAAGTCTCTAAGAGAATGTCTTTGTTTGACTTTCCCATCTACTATTGATTAAAGGCCCAGATGCTGTGAAGTTTCAAGCTAACTTGCAGATTTTTGTGTCTAATAGAAATGCAAATGATTTGTCTAGTAGAAAAGATAACCCCACAGGTTATAGGTTTATTGCTTTGTGGGACATTAGTTTTGTATCTAACTTGCAATATTTTTTTTAATACTCTTTTTTTTCTTATGCCAATAAATACCTAAACCTTCAAATGCTTTTTGAACAAATTTTCTCTGCTATTTCTCTATGGAGTTGAAAAATTTTGACACAAGTTCATTCTATAGTCATATAAAATCATGTTTTTAAAAATTTTTGTGAACTAAATTTTTTCATTAAATTTATTGGGGTGACATTGGTTAACAAAATCACGTAAGTTTGTTACAATGTGTACAATTCAATAATACATCATTTTGCATTATATTGCATTGTGTTCACCACCCAAAATTAAATTTCCTTCTGTCATCATATATTTGACCCCCTTTACCCTTCTCTCCCCTCTCCTCCCCCTTTCCCTCTGATAACCACTAAACTCTTGTCTGTGCCTATGAGATTTTGTTTGTCTTCTTCATTTGTTGCTTTCAGTAATTTTTTTTAAGTCATACTCTGATGACAGTCAATGTTTCATTTGAGTGTCACTTCAAATCATCTCAGGTACACTGATGTCAGTCATACATTTTGAGAAACCTATTAGATTACACTTGAAACGAAAACTTGTGAGGATTATTTCTCAGTATGCTGCACTTTCTATATAACTTTATAAGTATTCTGTGTTAGTGCCAGGGTTAGGGAATCTTGATGGAGCTTCCTTAATTTATTTTTTTCCTATGTTGTAACCTATCATGTAGACTTATAATGCCAATTCCTCATCTCTTGCATTAAAGCCTTTAGAATGCAACTCTTTCATAAAAGTGAGATGATTTTAACTTAGAAATTAATGTACTTTGTTTCTTGGATACTTCTTCTTCATCTCCAACTTCATCTTCAGTGACCTCAGACCCAGTGGTATATTCTTCTTCTTCTGAAAATAATGACTGTTGTTTCTGAATTTAAAGAAACAAAACACACCCTATTAAAAATGTTGTACTGTCATATCTTGAGTGCATTTTTTTCAAACACAGTTATCTAAATTTATTTTGGATGAATGAGCCAAACAAGAGCTGATAAAATAACCACTGCCCTGCACAACATTCAGGAAACAGATAAGAATTTCTACATTTAGGACAGGATCATATTACATATAATTTTTAAAATATTTTTATTTATTTCCTTTGCAGATTCTAGCAGACTGATGGGCACCTAATAGGTACTTGGTATTTGTTGAATTGCACCTCTATTACTCGACTGAATGTATGTTCCTTGATATTAGGATTAAATTAAAATATAATAATTGCCAACATTAAAGAAGTCTCATAAGCAAGCACATGTGCACATTCTCTGGGTCAACATGGCCCTGTGTTTATTAAACATATCTACATCAATTTCTAACATCTACCCACCCTACTGTTTGTCATCCCTGATTCAAATTCTAACTCCATTTTTGAGAATACTGATGGCAGATAGCATAGTAATGGCAAACGGGTAAAAAAAAAATAAAATCAACCAATCAAACAACCAAATAATTGGAACTTAATACATTTGTTGCTTTGTTCAATGTCCTAAATGTGACTCAAAAGTGACTTTTAAAAAGTCACTTAAGGAGACTTATGCAGTCAGATAATAGAGCATGTGTCTGTTTTAAACAATAACAATTTTTAGTAAGTATAAAATTGTAGACACTGAAAATGATGATATGCATTTAACTAAAATCTATAAAATAAGATGCTAATAAAGATCCTATTAAACTAAACTTTAATTTAAGAAGAAAGAGATCTATGGAAGTGGAATATATAGTTGTTCACTTACCAGTTGCAAAGTCCAGTTTTTCAGTGACGAGAACTAAAAAAAAAAAAAAAAAAAAGAGAGAGAGAGGGAGATTAATAAATCTGCATCTACCCAGAGAGCAGCTCCTTATTTTCATATGGATACTATAGAAGAGTTGCAAAAGTTACAAGTATAGTTCCCTTCTAGATTGAAACATAACCTTAAACTCAGGCTAAAAATGATATATTATAATCTTTAAATCCTGTCTAGTGAAGTTGCATATGTTTATCTAAAAAATAAAAATTTAGAAAAGTGTCATTTCTAAAGGACAAGTAAATCACTTAGAGATAACATAATTTTACTGTTTGAAGTATTTCAATCACTTTTCAATGCTTTTTCTTATAAGTGAAGGAACCAGATTTTACATGAATAGTGAAGAAATCTAATTAGCTATTTTTGCATATAATTCATAAATAAATGTTAATGATTGAACTCTTACAGCGTTTGGAGTTTATAACGCATTTTACATGGAATACTTCACTTTCTCAAGTAAATGCTACCTCAACCAACGCAAAGGCAGGAATTTCACAGGCAAACTGTTAGCAACAAGAATCAAAGAAATCAAAGCTTTCTAGTCACCTTAAAAACATTTTAATTTTGAAACCTTGGGAAAAACTAAATGCATTCCTGATTATAATTATTTTCAAAAGAATGTCATATTGAAAAATGTTTATAGCACCTTCAAGACCATGTTATAATTTTTCCCCAAATTTAAGTCAATTAGTTATTAATTCTTTGAGGGCAAAGAACATGTCCTATTACCCTTACTGTCCTATTAACTCAGCATAATACCTTACGATTAGTTAGTAAATGCTTATTAACTACAAATTTTAATTTCAATTTAAACCATTTAGGTTTCTATCAAAGATTAAATGTCACTAATTTTTAGTCATTAATTTTTTATATAAAGAATACATGAAAGAAACTACTCACAGCATTGAGCTCCCCACTTTTGGGGCCCCATGGTGTATTTGGCTCCAGTAAAACATCACAGTCTAGACCCTTCTCATCGCAGGGACCAACCCCAGAATCACTTGAAAGAAAAACATTTTATGGAGAAGTGCTCAATTTCTTAAGAACTTAAATGCAAATGATATCTTTTTATTGCAAATGTTTTATAAGTCGCTCTTTAGGAAAATAGTTCTTGAGTATAAGATATGCCACTTCAACATTTACATTTTTTAATTCATCTAGTGATTCCCTTAGAAGTCACTCCATGTAGGGGGAGCATCATTGCACTCAAGACACCATACTTGTTGAATGGTAAATGGACTTCTATAATGGGTTCTGCTTTGAGAAAAGCCTTTATTAAAGGATCCTCCTACCTCCACCATGACAGCCTGCTGCAACTGCAAAATGATGGAAGTGACTGCAGAAATTATTGAATACAAGGAGTTCAAATTTATGCAAAGATGACCTCAACCATCAACTATTTTTCTAGTTGCGTCCATCAAGCATTTAAGGTGGGCTTAAGTAACTCGGGAAAAGAAAAAATACACCTCAAAAACTAGATCGTGGGTCTCTACCTTTCAATCATGAAGGAATCCCTTTATTAGTTTTTCTCCCACTGGATCTCCAATACTTTGAAGTGCTTTTCCTATCAAATAAATACCGCTTGCTCTTAATGTAAGCTAACATATAATTTCAGTGAAGCTTTCTGAAATAATGTAAACTATTTGAGGACTGACATTAGTAATTGGGGAAACACTAGGGGAGAGAGGATTCTGAGATGGAAATCACTGAATAAAGCTGCAATACAGCATCTTCCCCGCCACCTCCCCTCCCACCGCCTCACCAAACTGTGTCTTTAGAAAAAGGCACAACAATGACATCTTTGTGTTTATGCAGATCATCCAGTATTCTAGCAGCTGAAGACGACAATAAATCTCCACCTTCACCCAGATCACGAAGGACAACCATGTGGTCCCTCACTTTACAACCCTGTTGTATAAGAGACACTAAATTAGAGAGGTTGATACATTATATAGAAATATTCTTTTAAAAATGACAGGATGTCTTTGTTTTTCTTTGCTCAGTCATATCATCATCTTTCAATTGTATCACAACTTTTACTCAAGAAAAAAAAAACTCATTCAGAAAAGTGCATGAAAAGAATGTATATCTTAAAAAATATCCAAGAATATCCATATAACCACCATCCACATTAAGAAGTAGAATATTTCCAACACTCCAGGAGTCCCCACAGGCCCATAACTGCCTCCCAAAAGATAACCTCTATCCTGACTTTTATGGCATTTACTTCTTTGCTTTTACTCTTTTATCACTTAATACTATAGTTTAGTTTTGCCTCACTCAGTTTTTTTCAACATTGTTTCTATGATTCAGCCATGTTGTTGTATGTAACTAACATTGCTTTAATGTATAGTATTCTATTGTATGAATATATACAATTTGTTTATTCTACAGTTGATGGAAGGGTTATTTCCAGTTTGGAGTTATTACAAATAATACTATTATGAATATTCTTTTACATGTTTCCTGGAGCACAAGTGCTTGTGTGTACCAAAATAAATTACTCTATATCCTCACTAACACTTGGTAAGACATTTTAATTTTAGTCATTCTAATGAGTGTGCAGTGGTATCTCATTGTGGTTTTAATTTGCATTTTTCCAATTACAAATGAGGTTGAGCTCCTTTTCATGTTCACTGGACAACAAGAAGTTCCCATTCTTTTTCTTAATATGATCCTTTTATGGATGTGTTGCTAATATATGGTCCCACCCGTGAGTTTGTCTCTTCAGTTTGTTTATTTAATGTAGTTGATGTACTTTAATTTAAAATCTCTTCCTTTATGGTATTACTTTTTAATAGCTTTATTAGTTTTCCTTTCACATATAGGTCTTTTTTGTGTGAATAGTTTGGGCTGGAACCTAATTTCATTTCTTTTCCATATAGATATCCCAATGTCACAGTACCTCTTATTGGAAAGTCAATCTTTTGCCCACTGCTCTGTAATGCCACATATGTCACAGTCAAGTATCCAAGTGGCTGAGTACTCTATTTTTTCTATTGATCCATCCACCTACTCTTTACCAGTATCGCCCTGTCTTAATTATCAAAGCTTTATAATAAATCTTGATATTGGAAAGAGCAAATACTTCTACCTTTGTTTTCTTTGAGAGAACCTTAGCTATTCTTGGCCCTCTGCATTTCCATATATATTTCAGAATCAGCAAATTTGCCCCTAAAAAACCATCAGGATTTTCACTGAGACTGCAGTGATCTATACAGATCAGTTTAGGGAACATTTATATATACACAATGTTGAGTCTTCTAATCTATGAACATGGTACAATAACTCATTTTTTAGTTTTCTTTATTTTCTCTCAAAAACATTATATGTTTTCTATATAGAGTCTTCCACATATTTTGTCAGATTTATTCTTAAGTATCTGATATTTTTAAGGCTACTGTAAGTGCTTTCTTTTTTCAAATTTCATTTTCTAACATCGTCAATTTATAAAAGTATAATTGATTTTTGTACATAATATTTAATAGATTAATCTTAAATTCTTATTAATTTAAATAATTTATCTGTAGATTCATCAGGGTTTCCTATGTTCACAAAATCATCTGCAAATTATGACAGTTCCTTTTCAGTCCTTACACCTTTTTCTTTTTATTTCATTAATATATTGTCCAGGACCTCCAGTTCAATTAGAATAGAAGTGTATTGACAATGGGCATCTTTATCACATTCCCAATTTCAAAAGAAAAGCTTTCTACATTTTGCTATTGTGATATTTGTTGCAAGTTTTATATTATCTATCCTTTACTGAATTACGTCATTTTCCTTTTATTTCTAAATTTGGTAAGAATTGTTTATTTTTTGATTTTTATAATCATTCCATTCACTCAAATTAATTAGAAGTTACACATTCTTCAATCCTTTTAATAGTTATCCTAGAATTTGTAAGATGTATCCTTGACTTATCAAAGTCTAATTTGTTAATATCCTCCCTCTCAAAGACCTTTTAAACTCTATTTCACTATTCTTCCAACTTAAAGGCTATTGTTGTGAGTTTTAAAAATATATATTAAAATGTATAATATATATTAATTACATATTTTAAATTGTCTATATTATTAATGTAATTATATATTTATTACAAACACATACACGCATACCTGTGTGCACACATACACATCTACAAAGCATTACCATCATTATTTTATACAGTTAATGTTCATTTAGATTTCGCAATATATTAATTTCTTTCTTTGGCCTTCACTCCTTCCTATATCTTAAGAACATCTGTAGTGTTTCCTTTAAAGCAGTTTGCTGATTGCAAATTCCTTCAGTTTTTCTTTGCCTAAAAATATCTTTATTTTGTTTTCATTCTTAAAGGATATTTAAAGAAGGCAGAGATTTCCAGATTGTTAACCATTTCTTTTGGCACACTGAAGATCCAGTTTCCATTGCTATTGCTAAGATGTGAACTCTAATTACTGATGTTTTGAAGAGATTCTGTACTTTTTCTCTCTGGCTGCTTTAAAATGCTCTCTTTACTTTTTTGTTTTCTGCAGTTTCACTATGGTAAGTAAAGGTATGGATTTATTATCTTATTGGGAGTTACTGGAATTTTACATTTATAAATTAATATCTTTCAATAATTCTGAAATATCTCAGCCATTATCTCTTCAAATTTTGTCTCTGATCCAATCTCTTACTCTTCTATTGGGAACCTCATTGGAAAGTTGGACGTTACAGAAAAAGACAAAAACTGTATGAGTTCACTATATGAGGTACCTAGAGTAGTCAAATATGTAGAGTCAGAAAGCAGAATGGTAGTTACCAGGGGCTGACAAGAGTTGGGAGTGGGGAACTGATGATCAGTATAATTTTAGTTCTGTAAGAAGAAAGAGTTCTGGACACTGGTTGCACAACAATGTGAATATATTTAATACTACTGAACTGTACATTTAAAAAAATGGTTAAGATGGCAAATTTTATGTTTACATTTAAAAAAACAGTTACAGAGTCAGAGAAAAATAAATTTTCTAAAATATTTAAATCATGTTAGAAGATAATGACTAAATAAAAAACACAGTAACAAGAAAAAAGTTAGGCATACACTCTCTAGGTCTCTTTTATATTTCTCATCATTGTGTCTGTGCTTCACTTTGGATCGTTTCTTCTGACTTTTATCTTTCAATTCACTAATTTTTCAGCTATATGTAATCTGGTGTTAAGTTTGCCACTGAGCTTAAAATTTTGTATTATTACATTTTTCAGTTCTAGCATTTCTATTTGTTTTCATTTAAACCATCTCTGTTACTTTTCTTAGTTTATAACTCCCTGCCAAAAATTCCAAGCTTGTCTTCTATTAACTTAAATTGTCTGTGTCAATAGTCTGTGTCAATAATTCTGTGGTTTGTTTTTGTTGTCAAAGTTCTTTTGTTCCCATTCTTGGTAACTTATTTTCATCTATGCCAGATTATCTTTGTGTGCTGAATAATTTAGAAATAATTTGAGGTGTAGAATAATTTAGAAATAATTTGAGGTGTAGAATAATGTTACTGTTGGCAATCCAGGATTACCTTAATCCAAGTTCAGGGCTTGAAATTTCCTAGGCCACCCAAATAAATCAAAGCCAGGCTGTTATCCAGGCAAGGGATGGTTTATTTCTGATTTGCTCCTTTTTCTGTTGGGATCCCAACTCAAAGCACAAAGGAAGGGATGTTACTTATTAATGTCCCCATTCTTGATAGACCTTAAACCCTGACTATTATTCCCAGAAATCCTGATAGAGGACCAAAAAGCTCAGCTCAACCTCTCAGTCACTTCTTTCAGACTTGTAATTGTCTCTAGGATAAAAAAGGTCCTGAGTGCCAGCTCACTTCTTTGGGTTCCCATAATCTCCTGTATCCTAACACTAATTCCCCATTAACTTGTTGATGCTTTTAATATAAACTTTATATTTCATCCACCATTTTTTAGTTGCCTTTTGGTGGGAAGATTGGTCTGAATTACTTAGCCATTACAGGAACTATAAATCACCATTGACCTATCCAGATTTCTCTTAGCCCAAGACATCACTTTCATCAACATACATGTCACATACAACACTTATCACACAGTTTAATTACAATTTATTCCTGAATCCTCTCACAATAAGTGGAATATTAGTAATTAATACAATAAGTAAGTAGACATAATAAGCCAAAAAGTTACAACTTTTAACTTTACCTTCTACTTATATAAAACACGAAAGGCATTAGCTTGAAATAACTTATCATTCAATAGTAAAACACAATTTTACTAATATCTAAAACCACCCTGCTCTTCTCTCATGTTATAATAGAGAAGCTGCCCTTTCTCCTATCTAAACAAATACTTTCATTTGTGCTTACGAGTCCATCCTCCTCTGCCTCCTCATAAACTTTATACTATTAACCTCTCCTCAACTAGATCCTTTCACTGACTTGTTTTAAAAGGCTTCTCCTCTCAAAAATTAAAAAAAAAATAGAAATGATAAACGAATATCTATAACTTAATTACTGATACAACTCCTCCCTTTCTCAAAATTTTCATAAGAGTTGTTATTCACATTGCCTCAGCCCATACCAATCTGATCTGGATCTAGCGCTCCATCAAAAGTTCTTCACATCTATGAATTCCAGGTCATCAAAGCCAAAGGACACACTTGTTTCATTGTTTTATTTGACCTCTTACCAATATTTGACATCATGGATCACTCTCTCTTTAAACACTACTCCCTTAACTTTCATGACAATGTTCTTGGTTTCCTTCCTATTATTCTGGTTGCTCCTTATTATTCTCCTTGGCAGGCTCATACTTCCTTATCCAGCCATTAAATGCTGGAGTTTCTCTAGGTTCTATTGTAGGCCCTCTGCTCTTATGTTCATCTATATCTAGTGGCTTGAATTATCACTTACTTGCAAGAAGACTTACAAATTATTATTCCTAGTCTAGCTAATTCTCTGAGCACTCAAGCCTATATATTTAATACTCTTTGCCTAGTTACCTCATAAAGCACCTCAAAGTCAAAATGTCCAAAACAGAACTTCTCTCCAAACCTGATTCCCTTCTGCTGTTTCATCCTCAGTGAATAGTATCACCATCTATCAAGTAGCGAAAGTAGGAAATGAGTCATCCTAAATATTGAATCCATCCATTTCTCTTCATCTCTACTACCCTAGTCCAAGCTACCATCTCCTTTCTCTAAGACTACTGTAATAACTTCCTCATGAGCCTGACTCTACCGACTCCCCCAAGCCATTCTCCACACTGCAACCAATATTTTCAAAAACTGAAATAAAGAAAAAACTCAAACATGGCCTAAAAGGTCCTGCTCCTACATGGCCTGACATCTACCTACCTCTCCAGTCTTGTCTTGAACTATGCCTGTTTTTTATAACAGGGCTCTTTTTCTTCTCACCTCACATACTCCTTCCCACACTCAGATCTCAATCTAATGCCAACTCCTTAAGGAGGCTTTCCTTGACTTCAAAGCCCAAGTCTGACCAGCCTATTGCAGACATTTATGGCCCTGCATACTTTTTCAAACATTTCTTTGCATTCTTTTTTTTCCATTTTGATATTACTGCCTGAACTGTAAGCTCCATGAAGGCAGAAACTATTGAATTTTATACAATACTCTCTGGATTGCACAGCTATAATACAATTTTGGTGCTTTACAAATATTTGTTATATGGATGATGATGATAAAGAGCTTTCATCACTCATAAAATTTAATTACAAAACATTTTCAAAAGTGTTAGTGTCAAGAACTCTAATGTATTGCAATATTCACATATTACCCCAAAATATATGTGCAAGGATATTTACTGCAACACTATAATACCAGCAATCCTACATGAATGTATTACCTTTAGACTTTAAAAACAATAAAAAGGAAAAGATTTAAATAAAAAGTATTAGTGAGAACTGTAACTACAAAAGGGCAACATTCAATATTTACCTTTGTAAGCTGAGTAGGATCAAACCGAAGAACCTTTTGGTTACAGCAGGGGAAAATTCCAGTGCCCACAGTATTCAGTGAACTTGCAGCAGGAGGATAAACCACTGCTTCTGAGTGATATTGACAATGTGAAAATTCTATACAGAGAAAAGCCTGAATAAAAGAAATATATAAAATCAATTATTATTCCCATAATGCAATTAAACATCTTAAAAATACTTTACTGAAGACCACATGTTGTATGTTTCATTTATATAAAATGTACAGAAAAGGCAAATCTCTAGAGACAGAAAGTAGATTTCTGGTTGCCTACGGTGGGAAGTGAAACTGGGGAATGGCAGCAAATGAACACAAGGTATCTTTCTGGGGTGATGGAGATGTACTAAAATTGGATGGTGGTGATGGTTGTGCAACTCTGTAATACAATTTACTAAAAATCAGTGAATTTTACACTAAAATAAATGAATTTTATGGCAGGTAATTATAACTTAATAAAGCTATTAAAAAGCAAAAACAAAAACACTTTACTCAAAATTCAGGTGAATTAAATTGATCTTGATGTATATCTAATTTTATAATTGGCTAATCACATAAAAAGTTTTCCAATGAAAAAATGAAATAAAACTGTGCCTAACTTGATTATTCTTTAAATTTATCAAGGTTTAATTATAAAATAAATAGTAATGTTCAGATAGGTTTATGAGTTGGTAAAATAATTTTAAAAATAATGAAATTAATAACTTTAAGCACTGATCTTGAACACAAAAGCAAAAAGGGAGTCTATAATTCAGATTTCTTAGTTGTTAGTTCCAATTGTGATTTTCAAATGGTTTTTAATTAAAAATTTTTGAGTCTGATAAAAGCTATAAGGTGCAAACTCATACACAAAGTATTTTGCATACAAACTATTTTGAGTTTATAAACTTTCCATAATAAATGTTAAATATTATAAGTCAAACCAATATTCAATTTGCTATAAAGAAGAGGAAAAAAAATCCCTCAAATTTTCTGCATTCTGATCTGCTAAACAAGTCAGGTTTTAGAAGCCTGATATCCTCGATTATAAGTGATACTCCATTGTGGGAAAGACCACTACATACTAATTAAGTTTAAAAAAAAACAACCCAAAAACTTGACAATATCAAGTACTATTGAAGATGTGGAGCAACTAGAGCTCTCATACATAGCTGGGAGGAACGCAAGTTCAGGGACTTTAGAACATGGTTAGGCTTACATTTACCATACAATCCAATAATCCTACTTCTAGGCTATTACCTAAGAGAAATAAAATCTTAGAGTCACATGAAAGCCTGTATGGCTTTATAGTTGCTTTCTTCATAATGGCCCCAAACTAGAAACACCTACAAAATCCTTCACTGATGAGTCAGGATAAACATACTGATACATTCATACAGTGGAGTACTACTTAGCACTAAAGAGGAACAAACTGACAGATACAACGACATGGATAAATTTCAAGTCCATTTTGCTAAGCAAGAGAAGCTGGACTCGAAAAATGAAATGTGGTATAATTTTATTTGTATGACATTCTGGAAAAGTCAACATTATAAAGACACTTAAATAGGTCAGTGGTTGCTGGAGTCTAGGGTGGAAGAAGGAATTGACTAAAAAGGGTCATGAGGGAAGTTTTTAGGGTGATGGAAGTTATCTATGCACTGATTGTGGTGGTAGTTACTTAACTGTATGTGTTTGTCAAACTTCATATAAGGAATGAAGTTTAATGTATAAGGGTAACTTTACAAACTTCATATAAGGAATGAAGTTTAATGTATAAGGGTAACTTTTACTGTATATAAATTTTACTTCAATAAATCCAATTTTTAAAAATTGTGGGGATGTAAGAAGTTTATTGGGTACAAACTTAAACAGTTTTAAATATTTTACTCTGAAGATTTTAGTAAGCAGTTCTTCCTTCCCTCTATTGAAAATCATTACCCAAGTGAAAGAAAAATTACTGGGAGCAGGGAGACACTAGGGATTCACTAAAAACTTAATGTAGAAGACTCTGGATTTATATGACTAATGAAGAATGATTGTGACCTATAAAAATCTACTTATTCCATTAAAGGCAATAAAGGACTGTTTTTCTTTCCATTGAAAAAATGTATTTGGTCACTTACAATATGTTGGTTTTCTAAAAATTCAGCAAGTCATGATTGTTTCAGTAATGAAAAGAAGAAAAATATATAAGAAATTAAGTCAGATGTAAGCAATGTTTAATAGCACCATCGTTTTTGCCACTAGTTTTTAAAAAAGATGTCAAATACTGTTCAAACTCATCCAAACATACTAATTAAACAGCATATATCAAAAGAGTCTGCTCTCAATGTTTGTAAAGCAGGATATTAAAAAAAAAAATTAAAGTCACCTGATAACATCTTGAACAAGTAAGCCAGTTGACTGTTCCCCACAAGCGCCAATATACATCTCTCCAAGATTTTAAATCTTCAAAAAGACTATTCAAATACTCATGAACATCCCAAGTCTTATCTCTAGGGAAAAGATCCTCAAATGTTACACTATTTTACAAGCAAGCAATACAAATAATTGGTTAGAGCAAATGTTTTTAAATGTGTGGCTTATTTCCAAGAACATTCCCCAACTAATGGCTGTGGGATAGACTACAATGAACAACAGATAAAATTTCATCTGGGAGTTTTGTTTATTCTTTCTTTTTCTGTGGGTAACAGGAAAAGATATTAAAGGTTGAATGTCAAATTATTTTGCTAAGTGAGATATAGGGTCATAAACTAAATATAGTTTGAGTAGACTAACAGTTGGGACTTAGGCATACATTGCTTTATTCTAATTTTACATATTGTAAAATAAGCTGCTTTTGATCACTGGTGACTAAACATTTCATTAATGTATTAATTCTTTATATTTTCTAGTAATTGAGGAATATAGTAATATACAATCAGGTATTGATAACACACATTATTAAGTAATATAAACTTTAAAAATTGCAAAGGCTTAAAATTGTATCTTTGTGGTCATATGTAATTCAAGTTTCTATTTTTTTCTAAGTCCCTTAATCTTTTCAAAGTTTAGATATTTTTGTTCTTAGTTCAACAAATAACAAAATGCCATCATGTTATTACAAATTACACAGACACATTTGCTTTAAGTTATTTAAAGAGAATTTTTAAAACGTCATCAAGAGCTGCCTTGCAGGAAAATACTTTGAGTAAAACAACAAAAATGAATGTTAATATCAATTTTTTCACATAGTTATCACTGTCAGAAAATATACAGAATATATATAATACTTATTGCTATCAGAATGGACATAATTTTCAAAATGTGAAATATCTTAAGAAAAAAGTATAAAAGACAATATTGAAGAGTTAATTATTACAATAACTAGTGAAGATTCTCTTATTATTGCACAGAGAGGAAAAATGAAACATTTTAAAGTTGACTGTGCTATTCATTGTAGGATCAAATGTGTTTCTCTGTACTTTGTTTTAATGTTTAAAATATGAAATCTAACATATGTAGGTTTCTTTCTTTAATAAAAGCACTGTACATTTTTAATACTGAAAAAAGAACAAGCACAAAGAAAGTTAAAACCATTCATAATACTATCACTCAAAGGTAACACCATAGTTAGCATTTTAGTAAACATGTTTCTAGTTTTATTTTAGAATCTGTTTTTCTTTTCACTTAATTTACCACTAATGATTTTCTATGTAAGTATATATTCTTTTACAACATTATTCTCAAAGGCTGCACATTACGAATTGATTAGATGTGTTTTATAGAGGTATGCTACTGTCTGGATATATTTTAGTTTGTTTAATCATTTGGGTGTTTCCTTTTTTTATTTAAACAATATAGCAATAAATAGCGTTAAGTACTTTCATAAATCCAACTTTATCTCTTTGGATAAATTCCTAACAGTAGAATATTGTCAGGGAATACATATTTCAAAGTTTTTGCTTTCTTGAGACATTATACCATTTTACAACACTCTCCCTCCAACTCAGAATGAGAACTGGTTTTGAATTTACAGGGGGCAAAAAAAGGACTATACATTAATGGTCTACTGACAAAGTATAAAGAATAAATAGACTATGAAAAATACGATATTAAAGATAATTTTCCTCATTCACCAAAATTCACCTGAAAGTAAATTTGGTTCTCTTGTCGAATTCAATATAACATTTATACAGATAGTTAAAATCTGTTAGTGAAAATAAATCATTTAATGGCACTGATCAGACTTTCAAGATAAATATACAACAATTTTACTATCTTAAAATTTAAAACCATAATGAAATTTATCCAATTAATAAAACATACCCTTTAAAACAACTTTGTTTTGAAAGTTGCATCTTTCTAAATCAAAGCTGGATCATATGCAGAAAAGACATTACTGTATTCCTTACAGAAACAGTGATGTTTTTATAAATACACTAGTAATTCACATTTTAAGGAGAGAAATCTAGGGATATCTCTCACTCTGGCATGCTTCTGATGTCACCCTCAGTACTTCACATTTCATAGTTAGCATTTTAGTAAACATGTTTCTAGTTTTATTTTAGAATCTGTTTTTCTTTTCACTTAATTTACCACTAATGATTTTCTATGTAAGTATATATTCTTTTACAACATTATTCTCAAAGGCTGCACATTACGAATTGATTAGATGTGTTTTATAGAGGTATGCTACTGTCTGGATATATTTTAGTTTGATTAATCATTTGGGTGTTTCCTTTTTTTATTTAAACAATATAGCAATAAATAGCGTTAAGTACTTTCATAAATCCAACTTTATCTCTTTGGATAAATTCCTAACAGTAGAATATTGTCAGGGAATACATATTTCAAAGTTTTTGCTTTCTTGAGACATTATACCATTTTACAACACTCTCCCTCCAACTCAGAATGAGAACCGGTTTTGAATTTACAGGGGGCAAAAAAAGGACTATACATTAATGGTCTACTGACAAAGTATAAAGAATAAATAGACTATGAAAAATACGATATTAAAGATAATTTTCCTCATTCACCAAAATTCACCTGAAAGTAAATTTGGTTCTCTTGTCGAATTCAATATAACATTTATACAGATAGTTAAAATCTGTTAGTGAAAATAAATCATTTAATGGCACTGATCAGACTTTCAAGATAAATATACAACAATTTTACTATCTTAAAATTTAAAACCATAATGAAATTTATCCAATTAATAAAACATACCCTTTAAAACAACTTTGTTTTGAAAGTTGCATCTTTCTAAATCAAAGCTGGATCATATGCAGAAAAGACATTACTGTATTCCTTACAGAAACAGTGATGTTTTTATAAATACACTAGTAATTCACATTTTAAGGAGAGAAATCTAGGGATATCTCTCACTCTGGCATGCTTCTGATGTCACCCTCAGTACTTCACATTTTAAAAGCTGTATTTCCTTTTCACTACACCTTATGTGAATGTAGACAATATTTCCATGTCGATCCACATTAATTTTTCCAGGAATGCAAGGAATTCTTCTTTCTGTTTCTTTTGTTAAAAGTTTCTTACACAAACAGCATCTATAACACACAAAAAAGATACATGTGAGAAAATTTTAAATGTAGTAAAGTTAAAGAATTTAGCTGCATTATATAACATACCAAAAAAAGCCCATCACCATACCTGTATAATGTCACTGCATTATTCTGAGAATCTGGATTCAAGTACTCAGGATCAAACAGTCTCTCAATCTTCTTACAAAAAAGTTTACTATTAAAAACAAATCACCAACAAATTAATTTTCCTTATCTAGTTTACTAAAAAGTGTTAAAAAATAATAGTGATAAAAACAAACACTGACCTATCCGCACAAGAAGAAAAGATTAATAAATCCTTAGAGAGCTTCTCTTCAGGAATTTATACTACAGTTTTACTGTTCTAAGTAAATAAATCTCCTAATGAGAACTGCTTGATCAAGAATCTACTTTCACAAGAAAAATAAGACTGATGAATCCTTCTCTTTTAGTCCTTTGTTATTGGAATATTCAAGATTGAAAATTTTGGAAATTTAACAATTCTGGGTCTACCAATAATTTGGTATGTAATCTTTGGCATTTTACTTAACCTCTCTGAACCTTATTTTCTCATCTATAGACTGGGGTTAATAATTCCAAGCTCACAAGTTTTTAGGAGGGTTAAATGAGGTGTTTTTAGAGTGCCAGACATAGCATTATCATTAAACAAATGTTAATATCTTATTATTATGCATAATATGACTGAACTTTAAGTCTTCTAATTAATGCCAATTAAATTATTTGTCATTGATTCCAAGTGTACATTCTGTCTCCATTTTCCTTTATGTAATATCTGATACTAAAGGCCAGATTCAGATTTAGGATCCTGATCCCATTGTCAAATATTTAGCTCTTGGATAATTCCCCTCTGTCTCATTCCCTTTAAGGACTAAACTTTTGGATAATCCCCTACATTATCAATTTCTTCCACTCTAACGAATCATTCCAGTCAGCAAATAAACATAATCTAATATTTCCCTTTAAAAAATAATCCTTTCTTCATCTTACCTATCCTTAATAGTTACTGCTAAATTTTTCAACATTCAGAGCAAAACATCTGGAGAAATGTTATCTAAATCAAACCGGTCACATTTCTGTCCTCATCTTACTCTACATGGTAGCATCATTCCACACATTTGATCACTTAATCACTTCCTCCTGTTTGAAACCCTCTTTTCTTCAACCCACTGGCTACTCCTTCTCTTGATCCTCACTTGATCCTCTAAATTTTGGATAGTCTTTATCAATATTCTCTTGCTAACAATTATAAAATAAATAAAAATAGCATTTACAACAGCACCAAAAAAATTAAATATCCAGGAATAAATTTAATAAAAAAGGGAAAATATCTCTATACTAAAAACTATAAAACATTGCTAAAATAAATGTTATACAAAGGTTATACAATGTTCAAGAACTGAAAGATTCAACAATAAGATGTCAAATCTTCACAAATCTATATCAATCCCAAATTCTTGCAGCTGTATGTGCGTGTGTGTAAGAGAGAGAGAATGGGAAGGAGAGAGGGAGAGAGGGAGAGAGGGAGGGGGAGTGAGAGGAAGGAAAAAGAGAAAATGGGTAGGCTGATTATAAAACTTACATGGAAATGCAAGGGACCTAAAACACTAAGAGAGCAATCTTGAAGAGAGGCAAAGCTGGAGAATTTAGATTACCAGATACCAAAAAACATTATAAAATTATTATAATTAGGACAGTGTGCTATTTGATACAAGTATAGACAAAGAAATCAATAGAAAATGGAGAATTCAGAAACCTCACATATATGTTTACTTGATTTATAATAAAGGTGTCACTGCAATCCAGTGGAGAAAAGATGGTCTTGCTAGAAAATTTCATCCAGTTCCATGATTTCAAAGCTTATCTACTCTTATATTTCTTTTTTAAGCCCTGACCTCTGACCTAACTTTGGCCATTCTACCTGGCTGCCTATAAATCATATATTAAATAATCCAAACCCACCTCTTGATTCCCCTCACCCCAATCTTCCCATTCTCTCTGTGAACGACACTACCATTCACTAAGGTGCTCAATCTTAAAACTTAATAATTACCCTAGAATAGTCTCTATCTTCCTACATCATTCCATCTGAAAACCTGTCAAATCTTTCTAATAACCTACTCTGAATTTATCTACCTCTTTCTAGCTCCACTACTTCCACTCTAGTCCAAACCCTTTTGTCTCTCAGTAGACTACTATGTTAGCCTCCTAATAAGTCTCTCTGCTTCTTAAAACTTTAGTCTATTCTCTACATAGCAACAAAAATGATCACTTAAAAACAAATCAGGTGATGGCACTTCACTGCTTCCATTCAGTTAGAATAAAGTATACACTCCTTGCTATGACCTAAATGGCCCTAAGTGATATAACCACTGCTGACCTCATCTCATACCACTATTCTCCTTTATACTAAGGCCTGTCTTAATAATTTTTCATATAATTCATTACCACAATAAGCTCAGATGTACATTACACAAAATAACAAATTTAATTACTAATTTTTATCTTGAGCCAAGATTCTGGATAAATTTTACTTCATTTAAAATAAAATGGAAATATATTTATAAATATATTCTAAAAATAGAATATTTTACTAAAATAAAATAGAAATATATTTCTTCTAACAAGAACACTAGATTTAAAATTAAAAATTACCTCCTAAACTTATCTTTCTTGTCCTTTAAATCATCAACCTCATTGTGTGTGAACAGGTCAGCTATACGTGTAAGAAGATTTGCATTAATACAGTTCATGTTGCATGGAGTAGCTACTATGGCATTCATATTTTTGTGGCAATACTGAATACATTGTTCAACCTAAAAAAAACAGAACAGAAAATGAATGTTGAAAATAGTAGCATGAAGGATAATGTTATATCAATACCTTGCAAAGATAACATTCATTAAAAGCCTTATCCATACTGCTAGGCACTAATTGGGTTTTACCTATTTGAGTTAACATACATTGTTCCAAAGTGGTCCGGCAGGTCAAATTTTTTTTTTAATTAAGTTTACTGGGGTAACACTGGTTAATACAATTCTATAATTTTCAGGTGTACATTATCATTTGACACCTGTATATTCTATTGTGTGTTTACCAGCCAAAGTCCAGTTTCCTTCAGCTACCATATATTTGATCCTCTTTACCCACTTCGCTCTCCCCTTAAACCCTATATTTGACTCCCTTTACCCCGTCTACCTCCCCCCCCTCCCCCACCCCACTAGTAACCACTAGTCTATACTCCTCTGGTAACCATTAGCCTATAGTCCATGTCCATGAGTCTCTGTTTGTCCTGCTCATTTGTTGCTTTTAGGTTTATATCCCACATATAAGTGATATCATGTGATTTTCAAGTTTTTCTGTCTGGCTTATTTTGCTTAGCATGATTATCTCGAGGTCTGTCCACGTTTCACAAATGGCAGTATTTCATCTCTTCTTATGGCTGAGTAATATTCCATTGTATATATGTACCACAGCTTCTTTAGCCAATCATCTATCGTAGGACACTTCGGCCCAGCAGGTCAAATTTGTACATACATACATAGCTAGAAAAATCAACTTTCTTAGAATATTTCAAACAATAATGCAATACACATCTTTCATGGTTGTGGCAGGTATAAATCTTGGTCCACAAACTCAAGTACGTGACCTCCTATAACTAAACTTAATGAAAATTTTGTCTCCATTTCTGAGTAGCAGAAACATAATTTCATTCACTTCAAGGTGTTCTCAGTTGTGTTGTACTTGCTCTCTGACTTTCTTTCCCTTTCTCCAACCTAAAGTATACTATTTTTTTTTATTAAAGTGCCTTTCACGTACGTCAAGTGATTAAATAATTTATATTTATTGTAATTTTTGATATTTAAAATATATTTCTAAAAGTTAATTTTATTTTTTTATCTGCCACATTTTTTCCCTGGCTTTAATGAAATATAATAGACAATTAGTTGCTCATATTTACATTGTACGATTCAATGAGTTTTTTTCAATTATAGTTGGCGCACAATAATATATTAGCTTCAGTCATACAGCACAGTGATTAGAGATCTACATAACTCACAGAGTGATCATCCCACTAAATCTATTACCCTTCTCCCCTCCTACATATTATAACATTATTAACTATTTTCCTTATGCTATACTGTCCTCCCCAACCCCCTCCCATCTAGTAGCCCTCAAAATATTCTCTGTATTTATGAGCTTGTTTCCGTTTTTGTTGTTTGTTTTGTTATTGAGATTATACATGTATATGAAATCATGTGATATTTGTCTTTCTCTATCTGAATAAATTCATTCAGTGCAATACCCTCTAGTTCCATCAAGGCAATATCTTTTTCCATCCCCCCATCAAGGCAATATCTTTTTCCATCCCCTACCTTTTAGCCTGTGTCTTTTCATCTATAATGAGTCTTTTGTAGACAGCATATATAGGAGTCTTGTTTTCTTATACGTTCAGCCACTCTATCTTTTGGTTGGAGCACTTATTTCTTTTCCATTTGAGGTACTTGTTGATAGGAATGTAGTTGTTACCATTCTTTATTCCTGTTTTTGATACATGTTTTTTCTTCTTAAAGAAGTCCCTCCAACATTTCCTGTCATACTGGCTTGGTGGTGATAAACTCCGTTAGCTTATTTTTATCAGAGAAGCTGTTAATCTGTCCTTCAACTCTAAATGATTGCTTTGGTGGATAAAGAATTCTTGGTTGTAGATCCTGGGTTTTCATCACGTTGAATATTTTGTGCCAAGCCCTTCTATCCTACATAGTTTCTTTTGAGAAATAAGCTGCCAGTCTTACGGGTGCTCCCTTGTAGGTAACAAACTGCTTTTCTCTTGCTGCTTTTAAGATTTTCTATTTGTATTTAACCTTTGGCATTTTAATTATAATGTGTCTTGGGGTGGGCCTCTTTGAGTTTATCTTTTTTGGGACTCTCTGAGCTTCCTGGGGTTGTATGTCTATTTCCTTCACTAGGTTAGGGAAGTTTTCCATCATTATTTCTTCAAATAGCTCTTCAATTTCTTGTTTCCCTTCAGGTACCCCTATGACCTAGATGTTCTGACATTTAATTTTATCCCATAGGCTCCTTATATTAGTATTGTCTTGGCTTTTTTCCTTGCCATTCTGATTGGGTGTCCTAGGCTTCTCCATCTTCTACATCGGTGGTTTGATCCTCTTCTTTACCCACTCTGTTGATTCCCTCTAATATACTCTTCACCTCAGATCATGTGTTCTTAATTTCTGACTGGTTCCCTTTTATAATTTCGATTTCCATTTTTATGTTTTTTATCTCTTTGTTAAAGTTCTCGCTGAATTCATCTACACTTCCCCTAAGTTCACTGAGCATCTTTATAACCAGTTTTTTGAACTCTGCATCTGTTAGATTACTTGACTCCGTTATTCTTGGATCTCTGTTCTGTTCTCTCACATGGTTTCTGCTTCTTTGTCTTCCCATTTTGGCTACCTTTCTGTGTCTGTTTGTATGTACTAAGCAAAACTTCTAAGTCTCCCTATCTTATTAGTGTGGATTTGTGAAGTAGGTCTCCAGTGGCATAGTCCTGAGAGGGGTTCAGCTGCAGGCCAAATTTAGCCCAAGCCTGTGGCCCTCCAGGGCCACCTGTTAAGATTCAGCAAGCAATCCATAAATGCTGTGTTTATAGTTGCCTCAAGAGGCCATGCCAGAAACCAAAGCCAGCTGCCACCAGTGTGGGTCTTGGGGTTGGCTTAGTAAGGAACAGCAGACTCACCTAGGATACAACTGGATGTGGCTTGGGTGAGGCTGTGAGTTTGTGGTGGCAGAGTTTCAGGGAATCCTCTGGGCAGAGTGACTTCTGTTATCCAGTTCGATGATGTCTCAGCTATGACAGCACTATGTCCCCACAATGGAAGGGGGGAGGGCTCACCAGAGGAACAATGGATACTGCCGGCACTTCTGCCCAGGAGAAAGCCTCGCCTCTAGCCCTCGCTCCAACAACTTAGTGTCCCCCTGTAAGTCTCTCAGAGGAGACGACCTGGTGCTGGTGCTCAGAGCAAGGAAGTCCATCACCACCAAAGTCCAGCTGCAGACACAGCCCCTTTAAGAGGCGTCTGCAGCTGCTGGCTGCTACTGCTGCAGCCTCTGTCCTACAAAGCCACTGGGACTGGGCAGCCTCACATCTTCACCCCCTCTTACTTTATACCATTGTAGGTTGATTAATTATTTTTCTCCCTAGTTGTAGTTCTTCTGTTCACCTAGATCCCAGGTGACTTTGCTTGCTGTTTGCTCCATGTTTCCGTCCCAACTTTGATGTGGTTGCAAGAGGTATGAACAAAGCCTCTATCTTAGCCATCTTTGCCATTTTTAGGTGCCTACTCAATTACTTTTTGAGGTGGATTTGGGTTCTGGGGAAAACTAGCACTGGCTAATCATATATTCTTCCATATATTTTGCTTATGGCATAAAAATTATCCTTTAGGGCTTAGATTTCAAAATTCAAAGGTTAAAAGCTCTTAATTTCTGTTTTTCTGTAACTCTTCTTCAAAGCAATTAATACCAGCAACTAAATGGGGGAGGGACTAAGAAGTAGAAAGAATATAGGAACTAGTAAAATCCCAAATAATCAAATAAACTTCACATCCGTTAACAAAGCAAAGGTTTATTTTGCTCTGTGTAGTTTTATCAGGGGCTAGAAGCAAATATTTATTTAAAGTAAAACCATAAAAACATATAAAGACATTTGAATGATAAAGACATTCATTAAAAAGAAGAAAAACAAGTATATTTAATGTTAGATATCGATATGCATATGTATATATTATGCTTTTATGTTTCACCAACTATTCTTAAACAGTAGACATGGGTGTCTGATTTACACATACAAAATTATATTGTTTAATAGTTGGGTATTCATTCTTAATTCGTTGAACTATAAATGAAAGACACAAATAAGCAAAAACTGCTTCAAGAAATTAAATAGTGAAACATATATTCCAATTAATTTTCATTTAATTTGGTTTTAGAGGAAATTCCCTTTTAGGGTAAAGTTAATGCTGTTTAGTTTCATCTAATAAAACAGAGCTACTTCTTAAAGATAAATAGTTTGCTTTATAGGCATCATATACAAATGACACATGGTAGCCTTAACAATCTTTCCCAACAGAACAAAGTACCTCCAAACGTGAGCAGTTTATTCTAATGGAATCACACTCTTGAATTAAGTATTATTTCAGAAAGATGTCTTAGATTTTCTAGACACTTGAAGGAAATATCAAGTTATATGTTAAATCAAGCATGGGTGAACAGAAGAGCTTTTATTAATACTTACCAATGAATCCATTTTCAAAAACTCTGAAGAAATAAGAATTGAAATGACATTTCCTGGCTCTAAAAAAAAAAAGAGAAAAAATTAAATTCTTTTGCTTTGTACCTCAACCTCCTTAGAATAGGCTCCTTCTCACCTTAAAAGAGGATGTTATTTTAATAAGAATAATTTAATATAATCTACTATGGCTTATATACATGAAATAAAGAAATACAATGTTAAAACTTAGGGTGTAGAGAAAACACACAGTAAATTTGCTCTGGAATTAGATTCATATCAAGGAAAAAGACTCCAGCTAAAGATAGGACACATGCAAAGTTTTCCTTAACTAAACTAGGGAAAAAGATAGTTAGAGAATATAATTCATCACACAAAAATCAGTGAGAAAAATTTTAAATGATTAATCAGAGCACTTGTTATTAGTGAAGTTATTTCGAAAGCAATTCAATGCTTGTCATGAATACTTAATGAAAAAGATTCTGAAAGGATAATATAAACTTTACTATTGCAGAAGTGCTAAATTATTTTCTAATGGCAGCATGAGTGAGCTTTTAGAGGCATACCCAGTGAAAGTGGGGTGCTGGGTGATACTATTGTTTTAGTAATCCTAAATTGTCTCCCATGAGGTATACTGAAGAAAAAGAAAAAAACTGTGATTTTTACAATTATAGTACTAAGATAATCCTTCTAAATAAAGAACTATTCAGACAATTGTTAAAATAAATAATCCTAATCTTTCTTTAAATAATAATTCTTGCATAAGGGTTCTCAAATAAAAATGGTGAAGGGAGGAAGTAGCTGGTAGAAGTTGTTCCTCAGGAAACTGTAGTATGACCTATTCTAGTTAAGAACCAATGTCTGGATTACCAGAGATTTAACTGAGCATTTTGGTCGTTTCCTGGTTAGAATAAAGATTGCTTTTATAAAAAGTTACATTTCTAGTAACTGATTTAAGGTCAAAGATTACAAAGTGACTAGTTTTGCTCTACTTCTTTCTCTTTTGCTATACACATAAATATGCTGGATTGACCAATAGTTTTCTTTCTCTACAAATTCTGATTTTTATTTCGCATATACATATCATATCTGGGTGGTCTGGAATCTCTGGACTCTGGATGAAAATTTTAATTTAGCAATCTTGTAATTTTTATTTAAGGACCACTAGAAAACTTTCCTATTAGATTGGTCACTAAATAAAATAAATTATAAACTTCCTCAGAAAACTTTTATACTGTCAGTATAGATTTACTTACTAATAAGAGTTTAGAAATATTTTGGTAGTGCTATAAATAACAATTCTAGTACACAGAAAGACTATTAAATCACAAGTGTGATTTCCTGTACAAGTCTATGCCCAGTGAAAGATTACTTAGTAATTATTCTTCCTGTCATCTAGGATACTGGTTCTCAAACTTCTGCTCTCAAGACCCCTTTGCAATCTTAAAAACTGAGAATCCTAAAGAGCTTTTAATTATATGGATTATACCTATCAGTATTTACCACAATAGAAATTAGAACAGAAAAATTAAATATTTATCCACTTAAAAATAAAAAACTCATTACATTAACTTATTTTTATAAAAAAATATAATTTCCAAAATGAAAAACAAATTTAGCAAGAAGAGTAACACAGTTTGACATTTTTTGCAAATTTCTACGATGTCTGACTTAATAGAAAACAGCTAGATTCTCCTGTTTCTACATTCAATTTGTGGGTTGTCTTTGATGTTACATCAAAACTTGGCAAATGGTAGTTTCTTACAGGTTAGTTGTAATGGGATCTGAAATAATATCAATAAACTTTTCCTATTCTGTTATTTCAAAATCCCCTGACTTGTCTCGTGCTTTGAATGGATCTTTAAGCCATGCATGATTTTTTTAACATTATACATTAGTCATCTGGAAAATATTGGTTCACTGAGTTATGTAGATCTTCCAAATGTCAAAACATTTCATTGTATAACATATTAAAAAATCACATTCATTAATAGGACCACAAGTGTCATCAGAAAAGTCTTTAAATATTGAGAAGCTGTAAAGCACATGAAAGCAGATACAAGTTTTCTAAAAACCGATTCTCACTTAAAAGCTTAAATTTTATCACTGGCAACAAATACTGTCAATTGTTTCCCTTTAACTAACTAGCTCATTTAATTCATTTTCAAGAAAATATCTGCCATATGCCTAAATCTGAATAATCATAATTTGTCTGTCAGTCATTCTTCCAAGTAAAAACTGTTTTCTATTTTTTAAAAAAGCAGCTAGTTTAGCCTGCAACTCAAACAACTGCACAATGCCCTTCCTCAAGACAACCATCATACTTTTTGGTGTGTGACAGAAGTGTACTTCCCATGTCATCTCATAGAATATTAAAAAGATGTATACTCAAGTGTCGAGTTAATAAAATTAGTAATTTTTACTGCTTCAATCAAGGACATTCTTAAGTGAAATTGGATTTTTTCTTTTTTTCCTTTTAACTACAAGCACATGGTGCCGAAAAATACAGTGACTACTAGTAGTTTGGTGCCCCAGCCTTGAAGTGTGCTAAATAAAGCTCCAATAATTTTACCTTCCTTTACTTCTGTACCACCTGAACAAATGTCAACATAAAAAGATAAATAAGATCTTGGTATTATTATGCAAATTGTATTGACCTGCTGGATCTTCTGAAAGGACCTTCAGGACTCCAGTGGCCCACGCACCATAACGTGAGAACTGCTGATCTACAGGCCTTTTCATTTGCCATAAATTTATTATAATTTACTAAAAAAGATGAGCTATCAGTTTCCTAAAGGGCAGTTACCAATCTGAGCATAGTATTATATTCAAAAAATTTTCCACATTTCATGTTCGACCTGAAGCAACTACCAGGCGACATACAAATTTCACTATAAAATAAACAATAGATTGTCTTTTACCTAAAGTGGGCATCTCACAATCTTTATTCTCCTTAGTGTTCCTTTTAACATATTTTATCAACCAGTTGAAAATATGAACGTCACAATGAACTGAAATGTCCACCTCTTCCCAGCGCTGGGCATCCATAGATAAATATTCAGCAAAGTACTTCATTTCTGATATCAAAAGATCTCGTGGACAAATAAAATCTTCTTTCAAGTTTTTTGCTTCATCACATACATGGATCACCATGTTTGGCCTTCGTAAAAAATGTTACACAGAAATTAAATTATTAGAGTTTTAGGAGAGGAGCCAAGAATATTGACATTTATTGGAAGTATGAGAACAAGGTGTTTTTGAAGGTTTTGACCACAAATTAGTTTTATAGGATTTGACATTCAGAATTTTTCATAAGTGTCTTGTTAACCTGATCTGTATCTTAGATTATGATTAATTTTAGTTAAGCTATTGACTTAATAAAACAAATAAAAATATTTTTACTATGAGACTCATAACTTACAGGGTTTTAATTTATTGTTTTCAAGTTATAAGTAAATTATAAAGTTTTAAAAAATGATACCAATTCCTAAAGAAAAATTAAATAATACATTCCAATTCTTGTGATGAACATAAAACAGCAATTTTACATAGCTGTGGGTATGCGAAAGAGATAAAGATTAAACACTAAAATTTTCTTACTAATAATGAATAGGAAAAAAAGTTAAAATTATTCATTAAAGAATCAAAAAATTAGCATGGTTACTTAGTTATTTTTGACAGCAAGAAAGTTTGTCTTTAGGCATTCATTAAATATAAATTAGTAAATGTAGTTAAAAGAATTCTTAAGACTAAAATATACTTATTTATACATTTTAAAAATAATTTAATAAGTTTAGCTAATCCATCAGAAAGTTTGCTTCAAAATTAAATACTCCCTGAATTTACTTTCCTATGAAAATGATGTCACCTCAAATAGAAACAGTGTGATCCACACTGCTTTCAAGTCATTACAAAAGGAAAAGATTAAATAGGAAGAGATACAGTGTCCTATAAAATGAATCTAATGTATGTTTAACTGTACTTCATAAATTTCTAATATAAAAAAATTACATTTGAAATAAAATCGGGCTACTAGAAAAGTCAAAGTCAAATAAACTTAAATAACTTCACAAATTGTTCTTCCAAAGAAATTATGGTCAAAATATAAACAGGTAATGACTAGTATAAGGAAGCATAAAGCTTCTGTGGCTTTTTGGACCACAATATGATATACAAGATAATTCCAGTAAAAAAAAAAAATTACCCGATAAAATTTTCGTACCACACAAACAAACCTACCAGTTAAAAATCTATGTGAATAAACTAAAAATCACTGAATTATACACTTTAAAAGGATGAATTTTTGTATTGTGGTAAAATACACATAACATAAAATTTTAGCCATTTTTAAATGTACAGTTCAGTGGCATTAAGTACATTCATATTGTTATGCAAGCATCATCACCATCCATCTCCAGAACTTTTTCAGAGGTAAATTTTATGGTATATGAATTATACAGTAATAAAGCTATTATTTAAAAAAAATGGATCAAATATGTGGTGACAGAAAGAAATCTAACTATGGGAGGTGAACACACAATGTAAATAAATATACATATGCCTTACTGTTAAAGTGTACAGCTGAAACTTATTGGATTTAACCAATGTCACCATAAAAAGAGAACAAAAACAAAAAAACAAAAAACAAAACTACCAAAACTGAAATACACAAAGGATCTTTCAGAGACAGTGAAATGTTCTATATCTTCATTTGGATAATGGTTACATGGTGAACACATTTGTTAAAACTTATCAAAGTGAATGCTTAAAATATGTTTATTGTATGTAAAATATACAAACCATAGAAAAACTATCAAAACTTGCAATATATTAAAAGATATTCTAATTTTTAAATGTTTCTATAATCAGTAATTATATTCAAATACTTATATCTAAAATATATATCGTTTCTTTAATGAAATCGAAGAATTAATGGCAGAGACTTTTCTTCGCATTTTAAAATATACTTTTCAAAGTTTTATGTAGATGTTATTTCTAATATTTACAAAATGAAAATGAATTTTTAAATAGAAAACTAGTCTAATTTATAAATAACACAAATAAGCCTTATGTTTAGCTATCAAGCAGTCATTTATAGTTCAACGCATGAAACAACCTGATTTTAATTGTTTCAGAAATTGTGTAATGTGAAATTTCCTAAAATATGGTAACTGATATATACAATCACCAATCATATAGTTTATAATTTAAAGTTGATATTCATATTAAGTCTTATCTAGCAAAGAACCAGCCTCCTACCCTTCAGATTCTTCAGTCTTTTCTCCACCATTACGAGTAGTACAATTTTCACTTTCTGAAGAACAATTCCTTGTGGAAGCTATACTATGTCTTCCTTAAATACAGAAACAAACATACAAAAACAAAGCGGGGAGGTTAGCATTTCTAGCTCAGAACGGGTTTTTACTTATTGAATGGTTATACTGTAAATGCATAGTTTCCAAGACTAGTTAAAGACGGTACTTTGCAGGTGGCATTTCCCTTAAAATATCTAAAGGTATATAGAAAAAACAGTCCAAAAAAGGGATTACAAATTGCTAATGTTACACTGAAGATTTTAAAAACCTGATATGGTGTGTACAGATAGGGGTCAAATGCTCAAAATCCAACAATATAGTTTTTTCTTCCTGAAGTAAAATTTTACATGAATACTCTCTACTGCTGCTGAGATTAAAATAATTCACTACACTCTGAGGATTTCTAAAACCAGTCATTTCCTAAGTCATTGCAGAAAACATCTCTTCTACCCTGCCACTGTGTCATTTGAAGATACTGCTGACTACAATAAAGGACAGCTGTAAAAAAGATAACGCAAGAGATAAACAAGATCCTCTCAGTAAAAATTATTAAAGGTATTAAGTCAAAACCCTTTAAAATTTATGACATAACTAGACATAACTAGGCTAAAAGACTGGAGTAGTAAATTTTGATATAGGAAAGATTTTTTTTGTGTAATAGTGTTTGACTTGTATATTAACATTTAAAAATTTTTTCAAATATAACAAAGAGACAAATTTCTAAAATTCAGAAAGATACAAATGCAAATACATTTTTCTATTATAAGGACAAGTCCTGTATTTTGTTTAAAACCTCACCTGTTTTGGAAACTGCACCCTGACCAACTGGAGGCTCTTGAAATTCTCCCGGTACATCAAGCAGCGAGGATTTGATATAGGTAGCTAAAGTGTCCACAGGATTCTCTCCCGCCATGAGAGGACTATACTGGTTGTCAACAGGTGAGTTTCCGCAGCTCTTCAGTTCATCAAACCTTTTTGCACACTGTAATCACATAAATGCAGGTCTGGGGTTTTTTTGTTTTTTGTTTTTAATTAAAAAATGAGCAGATATTTTCTTGCCTACTATTGCTATAATTATTTCTTAAGTGAATATTAATCCATTGGGTAATAGCTAGAAAACTAGCACACATTTCAATACACAAAGCCTCTGACTTAATTTTTTCTTTTTTAAAATTCAGGATAGAATATTTTTTCAGTATGCTTTAACCCAAAGGCATAATATGTTTATCCTCTTGTAGAAAAATGAAGAATAACTTTATCAACCATATTTCTCTGTGGTCTGCACCTATTATCAATTGACAATTTTAATAATTTAGTTAAAAATGTGGTTTATATTTTTACCACCAGAATAAGATCCAATTCTAATCTTCAATGGAAAGTAAACCAAAAAATATCTGATTTGTGACACTACATTTTCTTTATTAATATAATGAAGACTTTGTCCCTACTAACAATGAGGTTTACCTTGCACAAAATACTGTAGTAACATTTGACGGCCACATATTTGGGCAGGTTTTTCTAGCATAGTGTTTTACCTTAACCAATTAGTTAGTCATAAAATCAATTTAGAAGGTCCAGATTAACAATTGAGATTAAATAAAAGAGAACAGATTAGAAAATATCAAGACTGCATTAAGCATTGTAAGGCTTAATATTCCATCATGAAAATGTCATTTCTATGTGTGTACTAGGTCACACCATAAAATGCCTTCCTACTGTGGGTTTTGATCAAACAACAATGCTATAGCATCTGCTTTTAAATCTTCATTAACATCAACATGGGTAGCAAATTCCATAGCAAACCAAGTAATCTGGGAGGTGCAAAAGGAGAAAAATATATACCACATAGATGTGTATACATTAAATGAATAATGCATTAGGTATGGCATCATATACTATTACACAAATATTTAACAAGTACCCACTAGATATTAAGCATCATCTTTTAAAAATTTTTTTATTTTTATTTTTTTACGCCTACAGCACCTGGTCTTCCTAGGTGGTCTCCCATCCAAATACTAACCAGGCCCGACCCTGCTTAGCTTCTGAGATCAGACGGGATCCGGCTTGTTCAGGGTGGCATGGCAGTAGACTAAGCACCATTTTCAGCAACAACTGTTTACATGGTTACCAGTACTACGAAGAAATGCCTAATCAAGGCTTTGAAAAGTGAAGTAACGCTTTTTTATAAAGACACTTAAAAGATAGGTAAGTGTAGACTGAAATCTTATGTAATCAATATGCTCATCTCTTTAAAGTCTTAAAATTAAATAAAAATAATTAATATGATAAATGAGAAACAATATATTTTTATATGAGTATTGAAAAAAGTGGTGAAAGTGTGGGCAAAGAAAGAAAAACAAATGCTACAACATTATAAAAATGTACAGGTTCACATATACATGTACAAGATAAAGAATATAAATGGTTTAGCCAAATTCATTTTTCCTACATAATGAGTTTATTTTTTATAACACAAAGAAAGTGGTAAGTAGGCCTTTAAAACATAGTTTCTTTTGATATCTTTCAGGTAAAGTTTATAGCTTTATTAAAAGCTGAATGTAGATTTATTTTACAAAGCTTACCGTGATTTCTAATAGTTAAAAAACAAGAAAATTATAAATCTGAATATTTGAAATGAATACGATTGCTTAAACAAAAAGCAAGTAAACTAAATAATTTAAACTATATTATTAAATTGTTTTTTGTTTTTAAGCAAAAATTACATGATATCCATATGCAAAGAATGAGGCGGACATCCTACCTCACACCACATACAAAAATTAGCTCTAACAGATCAAAGACTAAATATAAGAGCTAAAACTAGAAGACTCAAAAAAAAAAAAATACAGGTATAAATCGCTGTGACCCTGGATTAGGTGACAGTTTCTTAGATATGACACCAAAAGCACAAAAAACAGAAGAAAATTAGATGGACCTAGAGGTTATTATGCTGAGCAAAATAAATCAGGCAGAGAAAGATAAATATCATATGATTTCACTTATATGCGTAATCTAAGAAACAAAAAGAACAAACATGAAAAACAGACTCACAAATATGAAGGACAATCTGGTGATGGCTGGGCGGAGGGGGCCAGGGAGGGGCTGGGAGAATGGGGTGAAGGGTTAAAGAAGTACAAATTAGTAGCTGATAGATGGTCATGGGGATGGGGAGCACAGCATAGGGAATGCAATCAGCAGTAATGTAATGGCTATGTGTAGAGCCAGAGAGAAGATAGAGTAATTGGGAGAGACTGTTTCATAAACTATATAAATGTCTAACCAATGTACTGTATATTTGAAACTAATCATAACATAAAATAAAATGCAAAAAAAAAAAGTTTTAACTTTGTGTTTCAAAGGACACCATCAAGGAAATGAAGAGACAACCTACGAAACAGGAGAAAATATTTGCAAATCATATATCTGACAAGGGACTTGCATAAAGAATATATAAAGAACCCTTACTATTCAATAATAAAAAGACAAATAACTCAATTAAAAAATGGGCAAAGGATGTGAATAGACATTTCTCCAAAGATCTATAAAGGGCCAATATGCACATGAAAAGATGCTCAACATCATTAGCCATCAGAAAAACGCAAATCAAAATCTTAATAAGTTACCACTTCACATCCACTAGGATGGCTATAATAAAAAAGCTAGATAATAAAAGTGTTGACAAAGATGTGGAGAAATTAGAACTTCAAACATTGCTGGTGGAAATGTAAAATGGTGCAATCATTCTGGAAAAATTAGTTACATTATTTCAGCTAAATTAAACATTTATCTAAAATATCTTAATTCATCCTTTCTCCACTTTCAATACACCAGAAGGTCATTCAAAATGCATAAAAAATTATAATCCAGGAGATTAAGTGAGAGAACACTCAAGAAACTTAAGTAAATCAATATGCAACTGTCAAAAGGATTAGAAAAAGAGGTCAATGGATTAGAATAGTAAATCCAGAAATAGATCTGAAGGTGCAATTTTAAACCTGTAATAAAAAATTAAATATTCAATAAACACTGAGCAATTATCTAGTCATTAGGGACAAAGTTAATACTAAAATAAACTCCAAGTAGAGTCTAGATTTAAATGTAAAAAATAAAAGTAATCAGGAAAATGTATGTGACTATGCATTATACATAACTTTCAGGTGAGAATTTTCTAAACATGACAAAAAAGGCAGACAGCAAAGTAAAAGATGCACAGATTTTAACAAACTTTTAAACATTTCTATATATCACTAATATCTTAATAAGCTGAAAACAAACAAAAATATGCTAGATCAAGGGTTAATATATTACACTAGTAACAAAACAAATTCACAAATAGAAAAAGGACATGGAACAATAAAATGTAAAATGTTCAACTTCTTTGGGATTTAAAGAAAGGTAAATTAAAACTGCAATGAGATAACACCTATATACAAATGAGAATTTTGAAAAGACACATAAATAGTTGATATAGAAAGTGCAAGGACCAGGCACTCAGGATGACTGGACCATATCTTAGACGACCCTTCTAGTAGGCAATATGTAACAAAAGCCTTAAAAATGCACAAGCCCTCTGATCAAGCAATTATGCTTCTGAGATTATCTCCTAAGGAAAGGAGAATAAGATATTTATTGCTCTGGTATTTTAGTAGTCGAAAGTTGAAAACAATAGCCTAAATATCCAACAAAAGGGACTATTCAGTAAATTATGATATAGCTCAAGAAATAATATATTGCCATACAATGTTATAGAAATCTATTAGCTGATAAAGATGTTTACAACATGTTAAGTAAAAAGCAAGCAGCAAACAGTTCATTTGTTATATGTCCACTTTAACAATTCATATACATATAGAAAACATCTGGAAGGATATATACAAAGTATATATCTTACTTTAGGTAGGATCAGATTTATAATTCTGATTTTTTGCTGTTTCCTTTGTATGTATGTACTTCAACAACATGTTTTGCTTAATTATAAAATATTACTTAGAAATTAACACTACTTAAAAAGTCTGATTCACTATTTAGCTGTACTTTGATTAAAAAAAATTTCCTCAATTGGGTGAATTTAAATATGCAGTGGATAGTAACATGATGCGATAGAGTTGTTAATTTTCTTAGGTTTGATTATAGTACTGTAGATAATGTCCTTATCTTAAGGAGATGTATGCAGCAGTATATGAAGTGTTATCATGCTGAAACTTTTAAATGTCACAGAAAAATATTACATTAAGAGATCAAGCAAATACCTAGAATTGCTGAATCTATATAAAAGATATAGGGGTGCTGACAGTAAAAAGTTGGAAAAATAGTTGAATTCACAGGTTTGCCCTGTTTTAAAGCGTAACACGTTTTAAAGTCCAAAAGGTGAAAATGTATAAATTAGGGAGTGATAATATACACTAAAACTTAAGTTTCCTCATCATTTCACAAAGACCTATAACGTAACTGAGAGTAAGTAATCTCTGTGGGTGTTAGTTTTCTAAGCTATAAAAAAAGAGGGTGGAATTTGGTTCATTCACTAATTTCACAAATATTTATTGAATGTATTCAGTGGGCCAGGCAGAGGCGAAAATGATTAAAACCCACTGGGGAAAATCATTAATGTCATTATCTACTTTTAGAACTCAGATGAATCCCGCTTTAGGAGTCCTTTTAACAGCAAAAATTCTGAAGTCAATGTTTCTTAAACTAGGGTTTCATGGACGAATTACCAGAAATCTAAGAGTTTCCTATTAGAATATTTAGACTTTAAGTTTAGATTCTGAGTATAAAAACATTAATAAAATCACCTAGATTATCAGGATAAAAGAATATTTCAATGCCTATTTGATTGTTTATAATTAAGTAATTTCTGTACTAAGAAATATTTGAAGTGCCCAAGGCTAATTTTTATAAAGGACAAAGGTAGGGAAGGAACTTGGTAGAGGAGAGATGTATTAGCGCCAAGGGAAGACAAGTAATGTCATGGTGTAACCTAAGGCTTCATAATAGGTTAAAGAGAGAAAAGTGGAGGACGAATGAAGGCTTTGTAAGGCACATGGCAGAACTGGCTGAATACAAAATATTTCATGCCACAATAGACTGCATAATATTCGTGTTTATAATCGGCATTTAATTTCAGCAAAACACTATTACTTAGCCCATTAAGTAAGCATTATTAGTTTGAATTGTGTTAGTTTTAGTTTTAGTATCTATATGAAAATGAGGTTTATGGTAGTATAGGTGAGTTTATACCTAGCATTGTTAGTTCTCATTTAACTTATATTATGAGAAAAATAATTTGAGTCAACACTGGAAGTTTTTAAATTTTTCTGTAAATTACTCATAGCATTAGGGATTTAATACCATAAAATCTTATTTGCAAAAATTTTACCCACCCATAATTGTATAGCAACACCTCTATTGTTTAAATTAAGATATTGTTAGTAAATTTTCAGTTGTGTAAACATGTAAAGTAAGGCTGAATTTAAACATACCAGGTGAGTTAATATATTATAAAATTTATAGTTTTTATCTAGTCAAATTATATCACATGCATATTCAGCACTTATACCTGCATATATAATATATAAAACTCAAATATTTTTTTCTCTCTTACTAACTGTTCTTTGAAACTGATCACTTTTTCTGATTTTTTTCAGGAAATATCTGTGGGACTATTATTTACCTCTTTGGGTGTTAACCCAGGCACAAGCCTTGCCACAGTTTCCCAGTTGATGGTCTGATGGATTCCAATTAATGGATAAAGGATCATGTCCAACACCATTTGGCTGTTATTGCTCAGGAAATTGTTGTTTTCTGAATATCCACGACTCATCTTTTGGAACTAGAGATGAAGATGACAAACAAATTTATTCACATTTGATATCCAAATGTTTTCAAAACATTATAAATCAGTAATAATTCATTCCTACGAACTACCTGCTACTATGTAAAGGACAAGTAAAACTGACTTAAAATAAACACAGAATATACAACTCAAGCTCTTCATATATAATAGCATTTCAGTACTATGGATTGGTGGATGGATGAAGGATGGACCGATAAATACGTGATAAAAAAGTAAAATAAAATATTAATGGTAGAATATAAGATATACAAGTGTTCATTAAAATTCTTTTACTTTGCTGTATGTTTAAACTTTCTTATAATAAAACACTGGGGGTAAAAGTTGAATATATCTTCCTAAAAAAATCCTTTAGTGTGCCTGGTTTATACTTTGATTAGCAATGTGTGGTTGGTAGAATTAAACTGTAAAAACAAAGCTCGTTATAAAAAATTATAATTTCATTTTAGCCCTAAGCAATGTTTATTTTTCTGTGAGTAAATGTCACGCTACAAACAAGGAAGGCTGAGCATACTTGATTTTTTACTGATCAATCAAATGAAACTTAAAACCAAGTTCATCTGACATTTTAGGATAAGCATAATTATTGTTATTGTGCCATGTAATTATTAGCTATAAATGACAGGGAGATTATTATCAACAACTGTAATTAGTATTTTTACTTGTTTGAAACAACTTTTTTGGGGAAAGTTCTCTTCTTCCTTGTAAGCAGCAATGTGACAATTGGCCTAATATGGTTCCTTATACACTCACTCAGACACACGCCCTGACATTCATATATAAAAAGCCAAGACACCTCCACACACATGCACACACCCACTCACTCCTGCAGAGGGGAAGCTTCTGTTGCTTCTTCACCTGTCTCTCCACCCATCTCTGCTCACATCACATCCTCTAGTTCAATCCAGGAGCCCTTAAATAACAAACCCAGTGACCAATGATGTCCAAAATCTTCAGGCAAGGATCACCAAGAAAAAAGCTCTAGATGGCTTTCCAAATGAATGTAGTTCAATAAACATTTAGTGAATCTCAACTATGTGCCAAACATCAGGGATACAAAAATAAACATGGCACGGTCTCTGTCCTCAAGGAGTTTATGGTCTGGTGAGGAGTACCAGCAGACAAGCAGATCATCTGAATATCATCTACTGAGAGCCAAAGCAAAGGGGAGCAATGAAGGGGAGGAGGAGAGGCACATAATAGCTGTTATTTGTTGAGTATTTACTAGGAGCAGGGAACAATGCTAAGTCTTTTACATAAGTTAAAAGAAAATAGGTGCTTCCCCCCAATTTTACAAGATGATGAAACATATTCAGATAAGTCATTTGTACAAGGCTATAGAGTTCATAAGAGGCAGAGCAAGGTTAAACTGACTCTCACATCCATGCTGTTTCCATTATACACAAGAGGTATGTAACAGGGGAGACAGCAGGTTGGGAATGATGGCTTACGGCAAAGAGACTAGCACATTTTAAAGTCAGTTATGATTTAGTGAAACAATTTTAGAAGCTTCTGTTGGTGAGGCAGGGGAGGGTGGAGGCTGTGGTGTCAAACAGAAAAAGCAGCTATACCACTAAAACTTAAAGAATTTTAAGAATTTATATCAATTATACTTCAATGAAACTAAAATTTAAAAACAAAAGAATTTTAAGAACCTTTTTGTATCAATGTATATGAGACATTTCTTATTTTATTCAAACCTTTACTGAGCCCCCACTATGTGCCAGGCATTGTAGCTGAAGTTAGAACATAAATTTACAGAAGAAATAATGACAAAGGTCTATGGCTCCTCCTATCTATGGCTTAAATGATGATGAATTTTTGGTTGGGAATATAATTTCCAAATAGAAGTTGTTCGTATGGAAAATGCCATCTATTTTAGGACAAGAAGTATGAAGCAAAGGTCTACTGCCAGACCAGTACAATGTAAAATGCCATGTACATGGGAGTCTACAGCTGTGGTCTGAGTTTTAGCTCCATATATGCTAGTCAAGGCAAGTCATCTGAACTTAAGCAATATAATTAAGTGATGATAATACTTCTGATATAATAAAATTGAGATGATAATTTTGTGGAAGCACTTGAAGACAATAAAAGCGCCTCGCAAAGGTGATGCAGCATAAAGTAATAGCATATACCTCCTAGATTGTGTCGAAGATTATGTGAGATGTTTAAATGTTGGAATGTGGAATTGGAATGTAGAAGTTCTCAATAAGTGTTAACAATGATTAGTACTATGTAATTGTTTACAAAAAACACTGGTATAGGACAACAGGCGATAGACATCATAAAGTTATACTACATGTGTCTGTATGTACATTAAAAAGAAACAAATAAAAACACTATACACTCTAATAGCATAGCTTCCTAGCAACCAGAGAGGTATAGATGGGCCAGAATCCTGTTGTGGATAAGTGTATAAACTCTGGAAGCCAGACTGCCCAAATCTTTATCCCAGTTTTACCATTAAGGTATCATCTGGTTCAGATTACTTATCTCTATCACTCAATTTCCTCATCTGTAAAACAAAGAATAGTAGTTAGCCCCCAATACTTTTGAAGATATGGACAGAGCTACTTGGTACACAGGAAGGACTATATAATGTTTGTAGTAGCAAATTATATTACTGTTCCAGATATCCTGAGATTAAACAAATTCATAAAGATAAATGTGACAAACAAAAGGAGAGACGGCAACTTTTAAATGAAGTATATCTTCAACAAAATGAATAAAAAGTCAGATCTAGATTCTTATCCAGCTTTACCATTTTTAATTGTCTCAGCTACAAGAAAACAATACCTACCTTTGGGGTTAAGGATTAAATAGTAATATATATAAAGCACCCAGTACACTACCTGGCATATGAAAGGTATTTATTATTATTATTTTTCCTCTTCTTATTTTGCCCATTATTGGTATTAAAAATTTCTAAGAATTAGTTTAATAATTGTAAAACATTGCCTTGAGTCTAGTTGAAATAGATTTTACAGAACTTCATTGTTCTCCACTTGTGTGCCTAGCACATCATCACTTGTCATACCATGCAATTTGAGATGTATGTTAGGGCATGGGGTATTCTATTATAATTTGTTTCGGTCTCAGCAGAAAGCTGTCTAAAATGTAATCCAGGGCAAGGACCTTGGTGCTGTTTTTTTCATTTCTTAAAAGTTCTAAAATATTTATTGTGGCCTACAATGTGCAGGCACCTGTTAGCTAATCAAAAATATTGTCCAGATTAAATATTTGTATGTATATTTCAAATATGATACTCATGGTATACCTGTTTAAGAATAATTTAAATAATCTAGATGGGAAAAAAATTTTTCCTGTTGACACTTTCTTTACAAAACTGAATCATCCCAATTAAGGGAAGACTACACAGTATTAATTCCAGTTAAAGGAATGTTAAAGAAAGTATCCCTTAGAGTCTGAATGTAAGTATGACAGGCATAGCACTAATAGATAACCCTTAATAACATAAAATTCTCTTGGAATAGTTGTCACAGTGCACCTCATTTTGGGAAAAAAGTGTAGACTTATCAAAAACTGTGACATAAAAGTTTGAAGCTCAAATTACACTACTACTGAATCTACTCCCATTCGTGATAAAATATATTCAAAAAGTTAGTGTTTAAGGTGAATCATGTTATTTACCAGAAACGAAAATTATATTTGTTTAATAGTTTTTAATATCACACCTTATGTCCTCTCTCCTATTCCTACAGTATTGATTTATTTATACGTATTAATTAGACCAAACTAAGAACAAATAGAGGTCCACGACTGGCAACGGATTTTTTTCCTTTTTTGAAATAGAAAAAAGCTCTTGTAGACAGGCTTTTTTTTTCTTAGACAGTGTTAAGATGGGAAGCGAGAGGGGGCCAGCAGGGCAGGTCAATGGACTTTGGCATATCAGGGGGTGGGAGGTAACACTGAGTCATCCTGCACCAGGAGAGAAGACTAGTGTCCAGGTTTCCTGACCTCAAACGAGAATGGAGCCAGTTGGCTTTCATCGTGAAGAAAATATAATCATATCCGAAATCCAGGATGAATAGACCAGAGCCCTACAAACCTTCCGCCCAGAGGCTCACTGCGCGGGGCGTCCTCCGTACAGCCCAGATCTTCGCGGTCTCCAAACCCGCCTCCATCCCGCGTTGGGGCAGAAACTCTCCCCGCGCGGAGACGTGGGGGCGGACAAAGGCGTCCGGCAGAGGGGCGCGGCCGCGCCGGCACAAGCTGGGCTTCCCTCCGCTGGTGCGCGGGCGAGACGGGCTACAGGGATCTGGAGCAAGCAGGGCCGGAGGGCGGCGGGCTACGCGTGGGGGCGTCCGCAGGAGTTTGGGCGGCCAGGGGAGGAGGCCGCGGCGGGAACGCGCTGGCTGCCAGCGGTGCCGCCCCTCGCCGCACTTCCTGTCCCCCGGCCGGCACCTAAGGAACCTCGGCGCGTCGCTTACCTCCACAGGGCCGCGGCGGACCTCGCTGAGCCTCCGTCACCTGAGGTAGCCAGCTCTGCCCGCGCTCAAGCCATGAACCTCCTGCGACCCGGCCCGCAGTCCGGCCCACGGCCCTCACATAAGGCCCTCACACGCCGCCCCTCCCTCTGGTAAGCGGCTCGGGACCACCCCCGGGGGCGGAGGACCGCCGGGCCCAACACGCCCCTCCAATCACAGGCCAGCGCCACAGAGGCAGAACCAATGAGCGACGAGCTCCTGCCGGGCGGGAGGGAGCCGAACAAGCGGCTGCGGCAAGCGGCCGCCTCGCCTCGCCTTTGCCTTCCCCTGCCCCCTCTTGCACTGACTCTAAGGCTTGTCGCAGTGCAGCGTCCCCACCCTCCCAGCGTCTTGTCTCTTAGCAACCAGATCTTCCAAGCCTGATCTTAGGTGACCAACTCTTGAGTCCAGAAGAAAGGGGAATACAGGAGAAAGAAAACTCGGATATGGATAAAATGGTTGGCAATGCAAGTCACTGTGGTATATAGCTGCTTGGGTTAGGTAGAATGGGAAAATTGTACGATCTGAGGGACACCAAAAGTATCTTGGGTTAAGCATTGTCTTTATCAAGAGGCACCTCTAGGCACCTCTTGAAAAATGTAAATAGCGCTGGGTTACAAATTCAGTTTTCATTCACATTAATAAGTTCAGCATGAGTGTTACTGTGAATATTATCACTGGGGAACTAGTAAACATGTAAGGCTCAGTCTTGTAGGTGTAGAACAGGGCCATAACGATGTTTTCGGAGAGGGTGTCCTGACACAAGAAAAACTATGTGCAGAGAGTCCTTAGGTGAAAGCAAGCCTGGAATATTTAAGTAACTGCAAGGAGGTCAATGTGACTCCTGTGAGGAGAGTAGAGGGTGAAGAGTAGAGGGGGGTCAGACGGCATAACCACTTGTAGACCACCGTATGGACTTTGAGTTTTTACTGAGTCAAATGGGAAGCCGCTGGCAGGTTTTTAGCAGAGGAATGTTATGACATTAAAAACAAAAAACAAACAAAACTAATATTCTTCCTGTTTTGACTACAGGTCTGGTCAGGTAAGGGCAGAGGTAGAATGACAAGTCATGAGGCTATTACAATAATATATGTGAGATGTGAGTAAAAGGGAGAAATAAAGAAGGATTCCAAAGTGTTTGGCCTAAACAAATGGAAAGATGTAGTTCCAATTGATTGGCACACGGAAGAAAATGGAGGAGAAACAGGTTTTGAAGTGAAGGTCAGGATTTTTAAGCACACTAAATTTCAGATACCAAGTGAAGATATCAAAGTGGCAGATTTGATTTTGGAATTCAGATGAAAGGTAAGGCCTAAAGATATAAAATCTGAAGTTGAGAACATATAGTATTATAAGTCACCAGAATGGATGAGAACATCAAGGAAGTGAGTATACAATAGAGGACCCTGGGGTCATTCACAAGTAAGGATGAGAAATCAGCAATGAAGAGCGAAAAGAAGGAGTCAATAATATTGTAAGGAAACGGAGGACCTTTGTAAGGAGGTCCATAATGTAAGGAGGACCATTATGTTGTCCTAGAAGCCAAGGGAAAAAAAGATTTTCAAGAAGGAGGGAGTGATCAACTCTGCCACCAAGATCAAGTAGAATTAATACTGAGACTGTTCACTGGATAGCAATGTAGTTTACTTAGTGTTTACTGGTGACCTCAACAAGAGTTGTTTCGGTGCGACCCCAAAGCCTGCCAAATTGAGTTCAAGACAGAGAAGTTAATAGATACCCTCTAAAACTGGTTAAGTCAAGAAAAAGCCGGATGAGCAAATTATTTAGAAATAAAGAGGTAAAAACAGAAGAGCAAAAAAGTTAAATGTGGCTGCTTTTGGGATCAGGTCTCTGGAAGGAAGCGCATTAGGCAGCAAAATCGACAACTCTCTCAAGGGTAATAGAGCACACTTGGTTGCAGAAAGCCACCTTGGCTTCTAGTTAAATACGAGATTGATTATTCATTTTTATCTCCTTTCTCCTCACAATCAAAAATTAGAATGAGAATAATAAGAAGCATTAAACAATAAGGACAAAGCATAAAAGAGAAAACAATGAAACTTTCAGAAGTCAGAATATAAAATAGACTTAGTAGAGGGGATGAAATGACAAAGACGGGGATTCTGACAACTAAGACTGTTTACACTATAGAACCCTTGAAAGACTCAGTACTTGAAAGCATCAGGCACCATTCCTTGTAGCCAGATATAGTACACAGAAACTAGGCAAATAAAAAAGGAATATCAATGCCAAGAAAACCACAATGTTATATAAGAAATGAATAGGGAGAAACAATATTTACATGGTAATGCAAACATTTTCACTGACTTGACTCAGAGTTAAAATATTATTATACTGGGAAGATGGGGTAAGAGGAAATGTGGGATAGTAGTGCAGGGCAGTCAAATACTATATGGGGTTAGGGGAAGAAAGGAGGTTAATAGATAACCTCTAAAATTGGTAAGTTGAGAAAAAGCCAGATGAGCGCATTATTTAGAAACAAGAAGGTAAAAACATAAGAGCAAAAAAGTTAAATGTGGTTCCTTTTGGATCGGGTCTCTGGTGTGAGGCAGGGGACTACTTTACTTCTTTGTTTTTTAAATCACAATTTGTATTTTTAAAACCATGCGACTGTATTAATTTGATAGTTAAAAATGTAAATGAACAGATAAAACATAAGAAGTAAAAATAAGAAGTAAAAATAACTTCAGAAAAGTTATTTGTTCAACTAGGAAAATACTGACAATAAAAAATTAACCATAACAATCTAGAATAAAAACTTCAAGTGATACCAACATTGCTGAATGAATAGAAGTAGGGGGACAATAGGGAGAACTGTCTGGAGAAGAAAGCAGGGAGGATGATAGTGTGCCAGCATTCTTGTGTTGTTATGACTCCAATATTGGGAATTTCAAACACCGGTGGAAAAAAATAAACATAACCACAACAAGAATAAAAATAGCATGAATAGCATGTATAGCTTTCAAACCTACAGAAGAAAATCTGATCTATAAAAAAAGCAGAAGGCATAAGTACAAAACTTGTAATAAGGTGATATAAGTATGAAATAACTGATAAAACAGTAAGAAGCTATCAACAACTGGAGATTTTAAATACATTCCTTTTAGAAACAGCAAAGATCAAAAAATAAGCAAATATAGAGACAAATTTAAAATATAAATGCAATCTATCATACAGTTCAATCTAACGTAATTCCTACCTCACGTTTCCACATGGAAGTATTTCTCTAGAATAACTGATGCCTTTTTCCTCCCTCCTCTTCTTCGCTTACTGCTTTTCATGAGAAGAGTGAGTTAACTGATTGGCAAGTTTGGAAGATAATTTTAGAGCTGAAAGGAAATAAAATTCTCAACTCCAACTACAGTTTTGAAGGTGGAAGAATCAGAAGGCCATAAAATTCAAATACTTTCCTCAATCAAGCTAACATTAATTCCAAATCTGTGGTTCATTTTGTGGCCTATTCAGGGTCTAGGACTCATTTTTGGAAAGTCCTCTTTTCTTGTTATGAAGTAGAAAACTAATTTGATGCAAGATAATAATGGTGTTTAACTCACAATGCTCTATGTGAACTTCCTAATATGTGTATAATCTATGCTATCTTGAGCAGGAAACCAGTTAAAGGTTAAAAATGCAAGTTTATTTCAGTTACTGACTGTAGCTATTTACATCAAGCCAAAACAGATTAAAATAACATTTTGATTCCTAAAAAAATTAGAATAAGCATTTCTTCAAAGCTGTAAATACAAGATAAATATACCAAGTTCAATATATTCCTCTGTAACAGAAATAATAGAATACCATTTTCAATGGCAACAAAAATTACAAAGAACCTAGGAATTAGCCAAAAAAATATGATATCCTAAATAAATGGAGAAATTGTATTCACGAATGAGATGATTTGACATTGTTAATATGTTAATTCTCTCTAAATTAACTTATAAATTTAATGCCATTCCGATCAAAATCTCAACATCTTGTTTTAGGGAAACTGATAAGTTGATATGAAAGTTTATACAGAAGAATATAAATTCACAAAAAGCTAATTTTAATAAAGGACAAAATAGATTCACCTAGCAGATATTAAGACATACTAGCAGATATTAAGAGAAGTGAAGCTGTTTTGTTAATTAAAGTGTTATACAGGAAAAAGAACTGACATGTATCAATAAAACAGCCCCAAGCAGTTTCATGTTTATGGGAAATTGGTATGTAATAAAATGGGGAAAATACGGATATTTAGCAGATGGTGTTAGAAAAACTGCTACAGTCCTTCTCGGCATGCCCAGCAGACATTCACACTCACAAGACCAAAAGGATATAATTTGGCACCAAGGTCACTTAGTTCGGCAGGATAGTACAGCACAGTAAACATAGCACGGAGAGAGGAAAGCATCCTTCTTAGAGAAGCCTCATGTGCCACAGGAACTACTATCAGTTACCAGTCGTACCTTATTCAGAAGTCTCAAAGCCTGTGCCTTTTCATTTTACAATTAAAAAATTTTGCTGGGTAAATAACATATTTACCTTGTTTATCATATTACCATATTTATCTAAACAGCAGATTTCCCTAAAAAAATTGTGCTAAGGAAAAAGTAAACCCAAGATAATTTTCCCATAGACAGAGAAAGGGTTTTGTTAACCTTCTCCCCTTAATGCCTATCTGGAGAAAAAGTTGGATTCATACCTCATACTATATCCAAAAATAATTCCAATTAAAATTAAAGACCTAAATAGTAAAACTATAAAACTGACAGAAGAACAAGACCTAAAAAACACAAACAATTAGGGAGAAAATTAAAGATGTCCATTCCATGAAGGATATCAAGACAAATTTAACAAATCAGACTAAGTTATTTCCAATATCCGAACATCTAGAATCTATAAAAAATGTCTTGTGCTATAATCAGTAAGAGAAAAACCTAACAGAAAAATGGGCAAACTACTAGTATTTTCCACAGAATAGAAAACCAGAATGTCTATAAAGCATATGCTCAGCCTCATTAGTAATCAGATAATGCATATTAAGACAAAATACATTTTACACATATCAGATTAACAAAAATCAGAAAATATTAAGTGCTGCTAAAGACTTTAGAGAAAATGAAACCCTTATATCTTGCTGGTGCACGTGTAAACTGGGATAACCATTCCTAGGAAGCGGCCAGCATTACTTAACTGAAATTAAATATGTATACATACAAAACCCCAGTCATTCTACTCTAGGACATATATACTACCACAGAAACTACAGGGCAGGTTCATAGCAAGATATGTACAAATTTGTAGACGTGAGAACAGCTGGAAACAACTTAAGTATCTATCACTAGAGGAAAAGATAAACTACTGGTATGTGAATGCAATAAACATGTGTCAGTCAGAAGTGTGTTATATATAGTAACATGAATAGGTCTTAAAAATCTAATATTTTATGAAAGTTAGAAAATGAAATTTATACTATATCAATTTTATAAGATTTAAAACTTATACAAGAAATATTATAATTTTTCATGGAAATATACCCCACATTTGGAAGATGGCTTGGAAAGATAAATATTAAATACAGTAAGAAAGAGGAGTATGGATTTATAGGCAGGAGATGAATAGAGTAAAATAAAACAGTACAAAAATGTAGCCTTTCTAGGTCAATGACATTAGTATCATTGATAAAAAGTATGATTGATGACTGACTCAAGTCTGAGCATCTGATATCCTTAAAAATTAAAACAAAACATTTATTTTACATGAGCGGAAACATTAAGACTTAGATTATTTAAACATTATTTTAATGTGGAAAACTGTTCATGGGCCATAATATAGTAAGTACCCCATATGATCTGTAAGGTAGCTGACTTTAAATGAAACAGTTCATTCTCTCAAGATAAATATAAAAACTATATAATATGAAAGGACATTTCAAGACAATGCTGCAAAAACAAATTTTTGTGCTGAATAAATATTCCACTGTGTTTTTCTAAGTTAAGCTGTTTTGATATTCAGCAAAATAATTTAAAACTACATTTGGCAAAGTCATACATACAAGTAAACTAATTTTAATTTTTAATTAATTTTGTGTATGAATTGGAAATTCTAGACTGAGATACATACTTTGTGACACTTTCACAGGATGTAAGAAGTTAAATATACATGGAAAATTTTACAAAACATGTACCTACCATAACATCTTACTTTTGATTGTGCTTTATATTTTTAAAAAACACTCTCATGAGGCAGATGAGAGTGTTTTCCCCAACATTATCAATGAGGAAATTAAAAAATAATGTGAGTTAAATCTTATAGTAAGTAGTGGTAGTGTCCAGATTAGACTCTAGGTCTCCCAAAACCTAGGTTTGTGGTCTTATTTTTATTTAACTCACCTTCTAGATAACTTTTATATAAATATAAGTCTAATATTTTTCTTTAAATCACAAGGAAATAAACAGATACACTGATTTGCAGTAGTTAATATACACGATGATATGAAGAAAAATAGAGACTTTTTTTTATAGCAATTCCAATCCTGAAAAAAGAGATAACAGTTTATCTTCAAAAAGTCAATCAAGTTTAAAGTACTTTTATTTGTCCAGTAAAAGTAACTTCACAATCTATTAAAAATAAAATTTTAACTGCATTCAATTTATGTTCTTTTTTCCATTAAAGAAAACACAAGATAAAGGACAGCTATAGTCAAGTAAATGTAAAATTATGACACACTGACAGATAAAATCAAGAATCTAAATAAAATGTTAACAAGAAAATACATAGTCCTCTTACTTTTTCCTTTCTAAACTGATAAGATACAAGAAAAAAATCTGTAAAGAAAACCTGTTTATTGTAACTTGTGACTTATTATTTTATTTAATTGAAAATATTTTGGTTTTAGTTAGTAATTTCTATAAAATAGTACTCCTTAAATAAGTTTCTAAAAATAACACATTGGAGCCTTGAACATTACATTTAATCTCATCCCAAAAAATTATACTAAAACTAGCATAATAAAAAAGGTTATAAAATTTCTTATTCCAGTCCTAAATTCCTTTTCTAGAATTTTAATAAAAAAGGAATTTTCAAACACAAATAGTTAGCAGTCAGATAATGAATATTACAATTTAGCATACTTAACCAAAAAAAAAAAAGAAGTGAAGCTGTTTTGTATTCATTCTATGCTATACTCTTCTCCCTACACATCTTTAATAACAGTTACAAATTCTATCGTAAAGACTCACCTTACGTAACCTAACTAGTGCTGACTCAACATTTCACCTCTACTTCACTTACAGCATTCTATTCAGATGTCTCAACACCAAATATAGTAATTTGTTTTATCAAAAATGTTTCAAGAACAAAATTTCCATAAGTTACTCTATAACAAAACAAAGCAGAACCTCTAATTATAGAACAAAAATAGAAAATAACACATAAGAAACTTTATTTCAACATGAAGACTAAGTAATACCTGGGTGTTAGAAAAGTAGGTTTAAGATAAGTAAATTTTATTATCTTATTACTTTTTTCTGCACATAGTCAAAATTTGTATTTTAAATATGTTACTTATTATTCTGTTATTTCAAGAGAGGTTCCCCAGAAGCCTTTAGTAAAGTTCTATGCTGAGTATATAGTTCGTTTCTATCTGTTTTAGTCTGAACTGTTCTAGAATTACTTATTTGGTGAATAGAAAGTCTATAAAACAGAAAAATACTAAATCAATATCAAATGACAAGTTTTCAACAGTATCTGTGAATGTATTCTTGTACACCTATAGCCCTGATAGTATTATTTTGTGGTATGATCACAGCAAGTATACAAATTTCCCAATTTTGTGAGGAAATACTCAGTGTACTGAAATTTAACTGCATTTAAAGTCATTATTAAACATAAAACAAATCAAATAGCATTATCATATGCTCAATGGCAATTCAGTATTTTATTTAGTCTCAAGTAGTAAAAACTAAACCTGAAAAAATGTGTATTTTTAATGAACAGCTTGTATATGGACTTTAAAAAATTATACTAGTTAGAAGCAAAGAATCTATGAAAAGATTTTAAGTCATTACTGCTAGAACTGATTATAATTAAGCACAAACTCAAAGGACTTGAGTCTTAGTTGGAGAAAATGAAATCTTTCATATATTCTGATTCGTCCAGGATGAAAACTAGTCCTATTGTAAAGGTATAAAAAATTTTTGATCCTCAAAAGAAATGAAAATAATCTGTAAGAAAGATTACATTTTTTACCAGCAGGAAAAACAATTAAGGGGTAAATATCACTCTAAAACCATCTCCTTTACAACGCTTCTAGTGACCTTTTCAAGATAAATTTTAAAAAATACAATGAAAGATATTATCAGTTGTTGGTGGGTGAAAACATATTACTGCCTAAAGCAAACCCAAGACTGGATGTAATACAGATCAGAAAACTTTTATTATTCAATTTAAAGTTGTAAAAACATTAGCCTTTTTGCCTGTTCTCGTATGTTTTTTTTCTGAGGATTCCAAGACAATTCATCTAGAATTTTAAAAAAGATTAATGATCTCTACTGTAACAACAGTGTATTCTATATAGTTCATCAATCTTCCTCCTTCAATAAACACAGGATTTTAAATAAGATGAAAACAATAGCAGTAAACATAATCTTAAAATCTAGGTGAAACAAACATCCTTGTGGTCTAATAACATGTAAAATGCAACCAGGTCATTAGACCAACATACTAGTGTACAACTTTAATAATTTCTAGCAGCAAAACACCTGGATGAGCCATGAATAAATGTGTTCATTGGATTGCAGAATAATTTCTTTGTAAGAATTTTTTAAAAGTATAGTTCAACTGTACGCAAACGTGAAAGATATCAAAGGTCTTGTTTATCTCCACTTTTTCCAGTGGAATCAGGTGCAACTGGAATCTTACTATTTTCAACAAAAACAGATTCAAAGGCAGCTTCCTGTTCATCCAAAGAATCAGCAGCTGTGGCTCCTTTAATTAGTGTTGTGTTGGTCGAAGATTGTTGCTGCTTGGAAATTTTACTGGATTCCACTGTTTTTCTACCTCTTCTTTTACCAAGAATTTTGACATAATTAGCAGGTATAAGTCCTGTTGTTTGACCATCAAGACTAGCCAGAAGCCAACCACGCACTTTGGGCTGTTGTTCTGATGAAAGAAAAGATAGCTTTGTAATTATAACATACTTTGGAGGTTCCATAGAATATTCATAGTAAAATTAGTTAAGTGCAATCTGTGTTACACTTACACAATAAAATATATAAACAAATATATTTTAGTATATATACATATATTCAAAATCAAATGATGACAGGCTTAACAGTTCTAGGTTCTTTATACTTTATACTTTTTATTTTATACTTGCTGGATATTTTTTTCAACCTTGAAGAACATAAAGTTTATATCAATTGGTCCATTCACAGGAAAAGGAGATTCAGCTTTCCCAAAAGCTAAAAACTAACAAACGTATTTCATATTTTAAATTGGAAATTAAGAAAATTAATTTCTTATTCCTTCTCAATAGGATTAAGAGTAATAATAGAAAATAAATATATACCTTCAGATAAGCCAGCTTTCTTTATATACTTTTGGCCAAAATATAAAATTCATTCTATGCGATTGTGATGAACAATCCTAAATATAGTGAATGTTAATTTTAATCTAAGATGGGCAAAAATGAAGACCTCCATTATCTCTAGCCATTTGACAAAAAGTTAAAGGCATGAATCTAAGCTTAAAGTAGGAAAGATTACTTACCATATTCAATTTTGTATTTTGGTATTCTCCCATCTATTTTATCTATGCCTTTAAAAGTGGTTTAACTGTTACAGTTTTAGTTCAACATTATAATTTAGGCACAATATGACATTTTTATGTTGAATATGCTATACAAAAATGAAACAAATTAACCATGTCTGTGACTGATTTTGTTCTAAGTATGCATACTTTAGCAATTGGAAGCAAGCAAAGAAGCAAAGCCAATGTTAAGAGGCAATATAACTAGAAGAATAATCTGATATAACTTTTTTTCTGAATTATTATAATGTAATTGAAAAAACCACACTTGATCTTCTTTATTATGTATTTAATTAAAACTAATTATCTATATTGGTGTCTAACAATAAATCTTAAAAAGAAATTATTCTTTTTAAATCCAAAACAATAAGATGCTATTTCCACTAGAAATAACACAAGAATACCCAGAAGCCTAGGTTTTGTGTATGAGGGGATGAGGGGCAGAAATTTAGCCAATTTGATGTAAAATAGTCACTTATTTACACATTAACAATTTGAACATTGAAGGTATTTTTTCCTTAGGTAGAGAGTGACTAAAACCAATTAAAGGCTGCCATTAGTGGATCACATGAAAAACAGCCAAAGTAGTTAAAAGTACAGGTTCCGAAGTCAGATAAACCTAGGTTCATAGTCCAGCTCCACTACGTCTCAGTTTTGTGATACTAAACAATTTACTCAGAATTCTTAGTTTTCTCATGCCTAAAACAGGGACAAGATAGTAACAGGACCTACTTCATAACATAAGGAGAGTTAAATGAAATATGTAAACTGCCTTGTACATAGTAAGTATTAATGGTTATTATTGTTACTAGTATCTTTACCAACAAAATGTGACTTTTCATAGCAAACCTGAATCTCTACAAACACACAAAAGATCTTTTTTTTTTTTTTTTTTTTTTGTAAATCCGCAGAAATTCTGATTGTTACTAGGGAAAGCTGGGGGAAAAAAAAATCCATTTTGCCTGGAGCCATCAAAAACTATTAGTGACCTGGTCCAAAGGTAAACCTGAGATATGTATAAATTTCATGCTGAGGTTCTTTTATATTTCATGACCAGAATTCCTAAAATAATCACGATGGAATTTCTAAAGTGAACACTATTCAAGTAAAAAACAAAGTAATACCAGCCCCAGCAATCAAAGACCAATAGGGATACTTAAATGACAACAGATAATTTCTTTGGTTTGTTAGATGTGTTAAATTTAGTGTTTACCTGATGTTTTTGTGTGGGATTAACAGTTTGGAATTCAAGTGTTTAGAGTTTAGAAGACATTACATAAATAAAATCTTTCCTTATCCCATTGAAATATTACTGAACAACTCTGCTGGGACATTTCTCCCCCACTCTCCAGATTTGGAAGTTCTAAATACAAACAGAAGAGATCCTAGTAACTACTTCTGACTTAACTAACAATGAGCAATATTCTTTGTTACAGTTTTTAATACTACATTTACAAATTCTAAAAATTCACAGATAATTCCAATTTATTCATGTTTTATTACCTTTGAGAGCTAAATTCAACATATCACCAGCACGGAAAGAAATTTCTTCTTCAGATACAGCAGTAAAATCATATTCTGCTCTAGCAACTACATGGTCATCCTCACCACTTGCCCAGTTGGTGTTGTCTATAAACCAAATTAAAAATGAAAATCAGGTTAGTAAAATTTACAGAGAGAAAATATAGATATTTCACTGGCTGTGGTTTGCAAACTGCATAAATTTATTGGCAGAGAAAAGTCACTCCCCAAAGCAAATTCCATAATTAACAATATGTAAAATCAACGATATATTCACTAGGATATCTATTATGAACTTTTTCCTTTTCTTCAAGCTCAAAATTCTAGCTTCCCTACTTTAAGCCAGGGGTGGGCAAACTTTTTTCTATAAAGGGTAAGATAGCAAATATTTTAGACTTTGCAAGTCATGAGGCAAATTGAAGATATTGTATAGTTATTTATATAACAAAGATAGAAAACAACTTTTCCATAAATTTTTTAACAAAATTCAAAATGTAATAATTTTTTAAAATAATATAGGTCTACTACTAAGAATAATTGACTATTTGGGGGGTAGGATAATATTTCCCTTAATTGGAGTTTAAAGGCAATGTTTTCTACCATTGATATCAACTGCAAATGTTTATCTGTTAATGCTCATTCATAATGAGATTTTAGGTATTTCATCTTTGAACATTTTTTCACAGAGAGTACTGACAAATTCTGATATCAGTTCACTGAACTTGTGGTTTTAATTGAGCATATTCGTCCATGAGACTAGAGAATAGAATTCGAAGTTCTTCTTTTGTGATTTACATTTTACCATGTCATTACATTAGAGATTAATCACTTCCAAATGAAGAGTAAGTGGAAGCTTCTCAACTGCACAGTTCAATGGACTTTGAAATATGAGAATTTCCTCTATAGTTGCACAAGGTCCCCCAAATACTGTACTCTTCCTTCCTTCATCTCCTGCTACTCTCACTTAGCTCCATTCACACAGGCTTCTTTGCTGTTCATGTGACATGCCAGGCACACTATCACCTAAATACCTTTACACTTTTGCTGTTTCCTATGCCTCAAATACTTCCCTTGAATAGCTGCAGGCCTTACTCTCTTATATTCTTCAGGGAGGCCTTCCCTGACTGGTGCAGCACTATAACCCCACTTCCTACCTTTGACTCTGCAACACTCTTCCTTGCTTTTGTGATTTTCCTATGGCGCTTTGTACCTTCTGACTTACTACAATTGACCCTTGAACATGAGGGTTAAGAGCGCCAACCCCTGCACAGTACAAAATCCATGTATAGTTTTTGACTCTATAGTCAGCCCTTCACATCTGCAGATTCATCAATCGACTGTGAATGAAAAATAATAGTATTCTTCTAGCTGTGGTTGGGAGTGTGAAAATACTGTTTTCAATCTGTGGTTAACTGAATCTGTGGATGTGAAACCTGCAGATATGAACGGCCAACTATATTTATTAAAAAAAAAATCTGCACGTAAGTGGATCCTAAAATTCAAACCTGTGTTGTTCATGGGTCAACTGTATATATTTTATTTAATTGCTTATTGCTGTCTCTCCTGAGTAGAATCATATGGGCAGGGATTTTCAATGTTTTATTCACTGCTATAACCCTAGCTCCTAGAACTGTGTCTGGTACATAGTAGGCCTCAAACAATATTTACTAAATAAAACATTATTTCTCTAATAACTCAGATTTAAAGATCTAGGGCATTTTGATTCCTCCTTTCCCTTTATATACATCTAGCCAGTAACTAAATCTGTTGAATCTATTTTATCTATTTTGCTTTCCACACACCCTAGTTCAGTATATCATTATTGCTTATCCAGTTAAACACAAAGCATCATAACTGATGTCCCCAAATTAATAAATATTTATTAAGCACTTTCTATGTGCCAAGCAGGTTGTTAGCTTTCAGGATACAAAGATAAACATGACCCAATATTCTTTATGAATCTTACCAATTTCAACCTGTTTTAACCTACACTGACCTATCCAAAACACTTGAGACAGACTGACCTCTTTAGAACAGTTTATATGTGTCATAAACCTGCTTAAAAAAAAACAAACCACAAAAAACAAAAAACTATCCTTTCCTTACCAAATGAAGGTTAAGACCTTCCATTATTAGCCTTCAATCTAATTTCTCAGCCTAGTATTTATTATCCTTTTATTCTGTACTATAGCACAGCTGTTGAACAAATCTCATAGTTCTATGTACTTCTGTTCAGGCTGTTCCATCTACTTGGTCTTTTATTTCCCCTACCGAACTGATGAAATGTTACCTGACCTTCAAAAATCTAACTTAACTTCTTCCTGAATACCAAGAGCTGAAAAACAAAATTAACTCCACTTTTCTAAATTGCGATAGCACTGTGCCACTTGATAGAGAAGGAGCTTAAATGGGCCCAGTTTTGTTTCTCGTTCCGCCTTATTAAAAACATGACCTTGGGTGAGTGACTTCTCTGTTTTGTTCCTTGTAAAATCAAGAAAATTCCTATCTCTTAGGGTTGTTTTAAGAATTAAATGAGATAAAACACACAAAATTCCTAGCAGTGTCTTGCATGTAAAAAAAAAAAGCTCAATAAACCTTCTATCTCTCCCCAGGTGTCATATTCCTTACCATACTCTTTCTGCTTCTTTACAATTACCTGTATATGTCTTACCCATCTCCCCACCAATAAGTTTTAGAAAGATAGGGGGATTATGTTCTATGCATCTTTATATCTTCCACAGCATCAAGTTCAGTACTCTGTAAACAGTAGTTTGAAAATGCGTACTGTTATACTGAATGAACAATGAATAAATCAATAAGCCTGTTGTTGCTATATATTCCTCTTTCAGTTTTGAAGCTTTAACTAAAAATATAACTGGACCAAAATATTAAATACAAATACATATAAAGAATGCTAATTTAACAAATCTATTCTTGAAATTTGTTATGTGGTTTCTGAATCCATTCTCTTACTCTTACCTGATATTTCATCACTGTAGGTAGATAGCAGTTTCCAGATGAGGTAAGGACCACCAAGGATAACAGCAAAGAATAAGAATATCGGCCAAGATTTTGCTGAGTTAGCTGCTCTATCCTCGGCACTAAGGCAAGCCACAGTTCTTTCACTTTCTGCCCATAGGTCCTCATTCTCAGAGCCTCTTCTTAAGCCTATCATCCACTGTAACCGTCTGTAAAGATACCTTATAGTCCTAACTAATGCAAAAGCTGAAAAAACCTTTGTGAAGTGTATTTTTAATCGGGAAAAATGATTCGCTACATCCAACACAGCCCTAAAACTGTTATAGACAGCTGAAAAGGTAGCATCCATCATCATACTGACAGAGGCAAATGCATGCACGATACTTTCAATGGACTGAAATGCACCTCTGCTGCTTTCTTCAGCTTGCTGAACAAATCTACTAGGTGGAAGATCATCTACACGGAGGCGGTTATAGCTTAACCCATTATATCCATAACTATAAGGGCTATAGCTTCCATAAAACGAATTTCCATAGGCACCATATCCTGATGAAAATGAGCTGTAAGCAGGTCTGAAAGTGTTCATATTGCTACTTCCTGTCTGCTGTGATGGCCTTGGAAGAATAGGTGGAGGCACTCTGCTAAGTGTTGGTTGTCCAGGTCTTGTCAATAAAGTAGGACCCAAATCAGCAGATCTAAAACCAAAAAAGATTCAAAGTAGTAACTTAAACACACAATAGACTCAATTCAAATTAACTATTAAACACCTCTTACATCTACGGTTATGATAGATTCTACTGAAGATGTGTTAAGAGTAAGGAATAGCTTCTAACATCCAGTGCTTAGAATTTCAGTCTTAAGACAAAATTAGTAATTTTGTCTTAACTATTTTCTTGTTTACTTATGCTGGCATTATTAGTACTATCTTCAACCTATAGTTTCTTTTTAAGACACTTGTCTATTTTGTCAGTGTTGGTTGCTAGATATTTGTCCATCTTTGCACCTAAGTGAAATTATAATTACTATAGTTTTATAATAGATCTTAATATCCAATAAAACAAGTCCTCTCACAATGTTGTCTTCAAGAGTGTCATGACTATTTTACTCTTTGAATTTCCATATTCATTTTAGAATCAGAGCTTAAAGTTCTAGAACCCTCTTCTTCCCCCAAAACCCTGAGATTCTGTTTTGTATTACAATGAGTATGCAGGTTAATTTGAGGTAATCAACATCTTTATAATAGAGAGTTTAAACCCACAAATACAATATATATATTCCATTTACTTAGGTATTTTAAAGATTTTTCTGAAAAATGGTTTTAAAAATAACTTTATTAAGTCTTAATAATGTTTTATAGTTCACTATATGGAGGTCTTTAGATTTATTCTTACATATTAGTTTTTTTAAAATTTTTGATGTTTTTGTAAATGGTGTCTTTCTCAAAATTTCACTTTGTTGCTGTTATGAAGAAACAATTGATTAAAAAAAGTATGGTCCTTGTACTCAGTAACCTTGTTTTGGATTCTTCTTTTGGATTTTCTAGAATTTTAAGGATTTGCAATCATATTGTATGTGAATGTTGACAGGTTTATTTCTTCTTTTTCAATTCTTAACACCTTTGATGATTAAGGTTTTGCGCCTAGGACATGAAGGCTGCTAAGGCTACTATCAATCCATGACATCTTTAATCTAATATCAGAACCCGAGATGATTTGAAACTAGGCTTCTGTTTCTGTAAGGGCCTATCTACTTCTTTTATACCCTCATATCCAGATATATCTTTTCAGAGTCTTAATGCAAAGTTTAGGTAATTTATCAGCACCTCTTCTTAAAGGACCTCTGAATTCCAATCACGCTTTAAGAGTTTGTCAAAAGTTCTATTCAACTAGCTTCTCATCATCTTAGCTGCTTTTTCTGGAATAAGCAGAAGCTTATATGGGAAATTTACTTGCTCACCTTTGTAAATGTCCTTTCTTGGATCTGGGCTCCATAAACCTTTTATCTTATTTGCTCTATAATGTCTGCAAGCAGATATTTTTATATTCTGCTTAGCTTTGCTACTTGTCCCCAGTAGGGTTTTTCTTTGTTTTTAATTACTTATTTTGCCATCATCAGAAGTCCTTCCCACAATTCTTTGTCTATACTTTGTACAGTATCATGTTTACATGTCTGCTTCTTCTACAGGTGAGCTCCTCAAAGATTCAGTTTTCCTCATTTCTTCATTACCTACTATTGTGCTTACTATATAATAGGTACTGATACAAATACTATGCTGGAGTCTCTCATTAGTGGATATTTAATGTACATATTTTACACAGACTATTATAGAGATTACTTTTTCTTAGTTTTATGTTGTTTCATAAATTGCAACGAATATATTACTTTAAAAATTACAGAGAATTAAATGTAAACATTTAATAAGAAAAAAAGTTTCCTCTTCCTCTTCTCTTGTTTTAATGCTATTTATGGCATACACTAGTATATTTAGTGTGCATGTATAATCCTGCTTTCTGTTACAACCAGCAAAATAAGAATTAAATGGGCCTATAACTTAAAATAACGAAAGATGTATTCTCAGTGCTGAATGGGCAAAAAATGTTCCCCATCAACTTTTAATTTTGAAAAATTTCAAGTAGAAAAAATACCTGAAAGAAAAGCAAAATAAATATCCATACATGTTCTATTTAGAATCAACAACTGCTATTATCGCATTTGCTTTCTTTTTCCCTTTCTAGTCTTCTAAAAATTCTTGAACTATTTGAAATTAACCTGTAGACTTGATATATTACTCCTAAATACCCTACCATGCATTTCCTAAGAATGATGATATTTCATACACAACCATAATACCATTTTTCCATTTTTGAAAATTAACAATTCCATATCTATTATCCTATTGATATTTATATCCATTACCCTGGAATGTCTTTATTTAAACAGCTTTATTGAGATAAAGTTCATGTACCATAAAATTCACCCATTTAAAGTTCAAAATTTAATTTTTTTATATATTCACAGAGGTGTATAATTATCACCATATGTAATTCCAGAACATTTTCATCATCCCCAAAAGAAATCTCATACTCGTCCCATACTCATTAGAAGTCACTCCCCATTTCCTGGTCTACCCCCAATCCTAGGCAACCACTAATCTACTTTGTCTCTATAAGTTTGTCTATTCTGGACATTTCATATATTGTCAATTATTGTTATAGTCTATGAAGTTGCTGCAAACATCAATGAATTAGCAAATATGGAATCACTGTTCCTGGGAACACTAGACAGCACTTCAGCACTATGCTTAGAGGCCATTTTAAAAGAGCAAAATCACCAACAAAAATGTGAAAAATGTGGCACTAAATAGATTGTGAAAAGGATCCCTGTTTACATTATGAGAGCTGAAACAAGAAGCCAGAGTACTGATTTGTCAACCTCAGCAGGTATAAGCACTTCATTCCTTTTTATTGCTGAATTATATTTATCCATATATCACTCGATGGACATTTGGGTTGTTTCCATTTTTTTGGCTATTATGACTAATGTTGTTATGAACATTTATGTACAAGTTTTTTGGGGACATATACTTTCCTATCTCTTGGGTGTATATATCCACGTGTGGAATTGCTGGGTCATATGGTAACTCTATGTTTAACCTTCTGTAGAACTGTCAGATTGTTTTCCAAAGCAACTGCACCATTTTACATTCCTACCAGCAGTGAATGAAGATTCAAATTTCTCCACATCTTTGCCAACACTTGTTTTTGATTACATCCATTTTTGATTACATCCATTCTAGTGGATGTGAACCGGTATCTCATTGTGGTTTTGATTTGTATTTTCCTGATGTTTGATGATGTTGAGTATCTTTTCATGTGCTATTGGCCAGTTTCAGATCTTCTGTGGAGAAATGTCCACTCACATACTTTGCTCATTTAAAAGATTAGGTAACTTGCCTTTTTCTCAGTGAGTGGTAAGGGTCAAAATGTCTTTTATTTTATTTTTTTTAATGAAAAATTCAATAAAGGCCCATACATCGCATTTGGTTATTTGTCTCCTTATCTGATAAACTAAAATAATCCATTTTTAAAAAATGTCCTTGACTTTTTAAAGAGTCCAGCCAGTTTTCTAGAATGCCCTGTATTCTGGATCTGTTTCCCTAAAATGTTGTTTAAATGTATCTCTATCATCTATATTTCCAGTTCAATTAAAGATTGCATCTAAAGGTTTGATTAGAATCAGGTTAACATGTTTGGCAAGAATCATTTATGAGTGATATTGTTTACTTTATATTTTATTATAAAAGATGAAACAAAACTTTAAAAAGAATCAGCAAACATATTGTAGTAGTATATTCAGGTTGTAATAAAGCAGCTAGCTCTAAAGTAGGAATAATAATAGATAAAACAAAGAATAGGCATATCTAAATGTATGGAACAGAAACTAAACAAAAATGTAAAACGATGAGGACAGTTTGACCAACTCAATTCTGGGTCTAGAAGCAGGCAGTGACAGTCAGGACTTAGGCTTCCGGGCAATAACAAAAACTAAAAGTGCTCCACTCAAATGAAACTATTTCATTGCTTGAGGTTGAGAGCTGGGATGTACCACTTTTCCTCTTAAAAAGAGATTACAAAATATGCTGAGAACAGTTTAGGATTTTTAAAAAGTTACAGAACTAAGAATGGGAGAGGACTCTGATAAGGCCTCAAGCCCAGAAAAATGAAACAAGTTAACTCCCTGACTTAATCTCTGATATCCTTAATATAAGATACCATTTTTATACCTGATTCTTACAGGGAGATAAGTACTGAGGGGGCAGGTAGCGGCAACAGGAAACCTACTAGACAGATAGAGGTAAATGTAGATGAAAGGAAAGGAGAGAAAACAGAACTCAAAAATTCCTACTCAAAATGAACATTTCAAAAATGCCACACGCATGAAAAAAAAAAAACCCACAAAGAAATCAAACTAACAAAAATCAACAATGAGAATGAAAACTCACTCACGGAAAAACTATATATATATGTATATATAGATATATCTATAGATATATCTATATCTATATATATATCTATATATGTATATAGATATAGATATATCTATAGATATATATATACATATATATCTAGACAAAGATTCTAAATATGTTTAAAATGGTCAAAAAGATAATGAAGCAATAACATCTATGAAATAAAAATGGACATGAAATAAAAACATGTGAATGTGAAAAGAATTTCATTACAAATCTTAGACAATGCCTACAACTGCAGGGATTATCTTGCAACTACGAGGAAAGAAAAAATTAGTTGTTATACACTAAGGTACAGAGTGGAAAAATAGAACTTGGAGAATTCCACCTTGAGCAGTGGCATTTCAGGTAATGAGACTAACCCTTGCACTGATACAACTAGAAAAGCTAGAAAAAATATAAAATTATCTGTTTAAAGCATGAGAGAACAAGGCACTGAGGAATTATGGAGCCAAGATCCAGGAAAAAGAGAAAACCCAAAGAACCCATTTTGAAATGTTTCTCAAGGGGCAAGGGCCAATCCTGGAAGAGTTGGCTGACAGAATGAGAAGCTGAGAAGAACTTTTAATAAACTCCTTGGGCAAAAGAGACAAAAACTAGATTTCAGAACCCCCAAAGAGGAGGGCCAAGGTAAACCCTCACACTTCAGACTAGGACCTGAAAGAGAAATATGCTAGAAGTAAGGGTTAGAAGATTTACAGAAAATAGACTAGCCCCGGTAGGAACTAAAACCACAGTTTCAAATCAGCTCAAGTCTTCATTCAAATGACCCTAGATTGCTAGTGGCCCAAAGTGTCTGTCAAAAGTAAAACTCTCTGGAGGAAAGTACCACCCTCAGCCTCAAATCATCTTAAATTCTCTATATACGATGTCCAGCTCTCATTAAAAAATAACTGGGCCTATATGATAACAAAACTACATGTTAAAAAAAGAAAGAGCAACATCAGAAAATACAGAGATCCATCAGGGATATAGATAAGGGAGTTATTAGGCAAAGACTTTAAACAACTATGATCAATATATTCAAGAAAAAAAGACAAGATTGAGAGTTTTCAGCACAGAATAGAAATTATAAAGCGGAACTAAATAGAAATTCTAAAACTAAAAAAATAAATATGTGAAACTCAATGACTGCTAATATACGAGATTAGACACACTGAAAGGAAAATATCAGTGAACTACAAGAGAGTTCAGAAGAAAATACCCAGAATGAAGCATGAGTAACAAAAAGATACACACAAAAAACAGTGTCAGATATGTTGTACAGTGAATATATGTAATTTGAGTCAAAGGAGAGAAAAGACGGGCAGAAGTAATACTTAAAGAGATAGTGGCTGAGACTTTTCTGAAATTAATGAAAGAAATCAAGTCAGATTCGGTCTCTGAATCCCACCCAAAATAACACAAAGAAAACCAAAGCGAGGCTCAACAAAGTGTAACTGCTGAAAACCAAAAGCAGAAAATTTTGAAAGTAGCTAGAAGGAGAAAGAGATTTCTTTAGAAAGAGTAAAAATAAGATAGAGATGGCTGAAACTGTCAGAAAGCTGACAGAAAAAAAAAAAAAAAAAAAAGGAAGCCAGGAAAAATGTAGATCTTTTGATGACAATATTAACAGATCTCTATACTTCTGGTTAACTAAACAATAAATGTCTTAATAATCCAGAACAGAGTAAATCATTTAGGAATATATATGCAAGGATCTGAAAATAGCAGAATTCAGCATTGTATTTTACAAAATAATCACAATTAAGCAAGTCCACCTAGAAATGCAAGCATGATTCAATATTAGAAAGTTGATACAATAAAGCACATTTTCATATTAGAAAATAAGTATGACCTCAATAGATGCAGAAAAGTCATTCATAAAATTTAATACTCCTTCATAATAAAAATCTGAGCAAGGTAGAGAGCTAGAAGTTCAATAGGAAACCTATCGAAAACAAAAAAGCAAACATACTTATGAGACATGAGAAGTATTCTAATGAAAGGACCAATATAAGGATGTTGGGTATCTATGCTGGCTTATTTGTAAATGATAAGATTGTCAAAATGGAACACGAGAGAACTGCAACCAAACCACAAGAACAAATTAAGTTTGAATTATACTGGATATAACACACACACACACACACACACACACACACACACACACACACACAATCATAAAAGATAGAAAAGGACTTTATGGAGATAATTACCAAACGTTATTTAAGGCAAAAAATGTCAAAATTTTCTCCAATTGTACCTTGTACAATATTTATAGATGGACTTACTTGATCATTAAATAAAATTTCCAATAAAATATAAAGTTCCAATAAAAATTCCAGTCTTTTAATAAAGGCTAAATGTAACAAAGGCAATTTTGAAGAATAGTAATGTGTGGAGGCTCTTGACATACCAGGTATCAAAAGTTATTATAAAGACAGTGTGATGCTAGCATAAGAATAGACAGACCAATAGAACATATCAAAAAGTCCCAAAACAGAACCATATATTTAGGAAAATTTAATATGCTATATAGATGGCTCTGTATACTAGTATGGAATAGACAAATAAATGGTACTGAGACAATTAGTTTATCAACATGGAAAAAATTAATTGCCTATTTCGCACTGATTTTGTACAACAAAGTCAGTTTCAGGTGAATTAAGATATGAATGTGAAAAGCAGAACATTTAAAATAGAGAAGTTTTCCCTCATATGAGGAGAAAGGATTTCTTAACCAAGATACAAAAAGTACAAACAACAAAATATAAAAATATTGACCATATTAAAATTAAAAGCATCTGTACAACAAAAATGAACATGAATATAAACAGACAAGCCACAGACTGAAAGATATTAAAAACATACAAAGAAAACAGGATTAATATGAACAACAAAGTACTCATACAAACTGATAAGCAAAGATAATACCAATAGAAAAGTGGGCAAAGATATCAACAGGAAAACTCAAATGGCATAATAAACATTCAAAAAGATGCTCAATCTTATTACTAATGAGAAAAGTGCAAATTAAAGATGAAATAATTCACATCCATTAGATTGGCAAATACAGTACTAAAAAATACCATCACCGAGGGAGACCAAAATTTTGCCACCCCAAAATGTTCCTTTTGGGATATTGATTAAGCTGTTAAGGAACAAAAGACGCAGAATCTTTAACCTTCCCCATAAATGCCTAGAAGGAATTTAGACTGTGGACCTGCTCCAAGAAGGAAGATATCATAGATAGCTATAGTTTAGTATAAACTAATGTAGGAGACAGGGAGGAATCTAGCAAGGCCTACAAGTTCTAAGTCCTCTCAGTATGGCCTTGCTAAAGATGGCCCAGCAGACAACACTTGCTTTTCCATTTCCATGTGAATTGCCTTCCTCCCCTTTAAAAGATTCAAATCACCCTCCCCAATCCCTTCTTAGTCCAAAATGGCATAAACCCCTCAATTATCCAATGTGTCTTTAGGTCTCATATTTTTCGACACCTCCACATGTACATCCATAAAATATTTTAGATATTTTTTCCTGTTAATCTGTTTCTGTTAATTGGATTATTAGCCCACCCAGAAGAACTTAAAAAGGTGGAAGGAAAAGTTATTTTTTACACCTTCACAGTATCAAGTGCTGGAAAGAATGCAGAAAAACAGAAAATCCTCTAGTGAAAAGTAAAAATTGGTATATAACCACTGTGGGGCAATAGCCAGTACTTGAAGATAAGCATACCCTTATACCAAGCAATTCCATTCCCAGAAACACATCAGAAAAATCTCTTAGAAATATGGACAAAAGAGAGAAAGGCACAAGAATGTTCACTACAGCAGTTTTTAATATGTAACAACTAATACGGTACTACATACAACAGGGCAAACAAATAGTTTATCCTACAGCAATTAAAATGAACAACAGCTCTATGTATGAACAAGATAATCTCAAAAAAAAGTTTAGTGGAAATAGTTTGCAAAATAATACAGTTTGAATTTATCCATCTATCGTACATACAAACCTAAGTACTAAATTTTAAAATAAAGTATAAAAACTATTAAAGTATATAAACTATTATTAAAATAAAGTATAAAAACTAAACACCAAATAGGGACAGTAGTTACTGCAGGTAAAAAGAATGGGAGGGTTTATCTGTTTGAGTGATTTTTATTTTTTAAAAAATCTGAGGCAAATCCGGCAAAATCTTATTATTTCTTATAACTGGGAGTGAATACACAAGTATTCATTATCTTACTCTCTACCGGTCTGTGTTTAAAAAAAACAATGAAAAAAATGGAAAATAGTTAGTTTTACATAAATAGAACTTTAACAGATGCAAGAATAAAACCTCTCTTCCAAAGAGAAGTCCAAATATTTTTAACAAGTCAAATAACTCATAAAAACAGTAGTAGAAAGTGTCACCCCAGCTTAACAGCATAATTAAAGCTTATTACTTGTTAAATATCTATCATTATTAAATTAAGTAGCTGTTGTGTTCAAGCATCTTAGCATTTAAATAAAAGATTACAAGATTTTGGAACACAGCACATTCCAGTGCATTGGGGATTTTGTGTTAGGTGATGTGACACTGAGTCTCTTCAACTGAATTAAGATGTCTAGATATACCCAACACAAAACACAAAAGGCTGTGAAACTTTTATTATTTTTGAGTCGTATTTACGTTTAATAAGGATTAAAAACAAACACAGGCCTTAGAAAAGCAACACACTATTTTGCACACAAAGGCCATTCACAGGCCTCAGATTCAGATTCCCGCTTTAAAGTTGCTTCTCAAAATCTCTGCCCGAAGCATTGCTGAGTTATGCTAGAAAAGAACGCTAAGTGTATGCGGCTTAGGTTCCAGACGCGTAAAAGAGACCTTTTAGGCTTTCGCCAGCTCCTCGACAGATTGTTGAAAACTTTAGAGAGACTTTGTTCCCCGTCGAGCTAGAACTGGACAAACTCCCGTACACTAAAGATCAAAAGTCTAACGTTTTACCGGGGATCGAGCGGTACGGTCAAGGTGTTCTGCAAACAGAAAGAGGCAGAAAGCCGCCCCCTTTATTCCAAGCAGCGTGACCCAGAGAGGTACCCAGGAGCTCCCTGGAGAACTTCGCTACCGAGAGAAGTGGGGTCACAAACTGCTGTCAGATATCGAAATTCCCCTCGTAGCCTCCCCGCTCCGGCCCCACCTCTACCCCCACAAGATTGGGGGCTGGTTGAGGGGGAGGGGTAACCTCGCCCCAACAACGGCCTCAACCGCCTCCTGCCAAGTCTCCGCTCCGGCCCACCACACTCGCGGTCTATAGTATCTCACACTCACTGGAAAGTGGAGCCGGGTCCTGGGCCCGGCCCGGCCCCCGGAATTCGGCGGGTCTCCCACGGTTTCGGAGGAGGTGGCGGCTGGGACGCCATCTCCTCCGCCTCCACTCGGCTGCCGCTGGGTGCCGGGACTCTGCAGGTCCGGATGCACCAGCATCTCGCGCGCCAGGCACAATGGGCAGAACACCGAGCCCTCCACCCCGCCCACTCGTCCAGTCAGGACGTGGGTTGTGGTTATGGTGCTTTGCCAGCAAGGACCAGAAGATAGGAGAACGCCACTAACTCTTGGGGGAGAGACCCTCTCATTTTATTTGCTCTAGAAAGAATTTCCAAGTAAGGGCTCATCGATATTTCTGGCAGCGGCTACAATGCCTTACACGTCGTAGTCCCGTGGAGGCTTCTCTGAACTAGTCCTGCTCAGGCCGGGAGTGAAGCCCTGCTCACTTTTACACCCGCGAGAGAGGCGTGGCGCGTGGCGGCAGACCAGGCAGTTTTAGTGATTTTTCTACAAACAAGCAGGGGACAGTTCGGTCAGTCCTCTCGAGAAGGGACTGGTACTTTCGTTCTAAAGCTCTCGTTTCCTCGGGGAACAGAATTGCTAGACGCAATTGGTGCGCTGTCTTTAGTCTTCCCCGTTCTCTCCGTAAGGGGTTAAATCTCAGGCTCCGGCGTCGTGGGAGAAGGTGAGGTAGGGAGATCTGAGGTGAGGGGGTGCGGACTGGGTGCAGGAGAGGAGTGTGGGTTGAGGGGATCTTTTTTGTTTTTGTTTTTCCTGCGGAGAGGCTTTGTTACCAAGGAGGAGTGAGTGGGAAGTTTCTTGGAGTTGACCGAAGGGGAAGAAGGTCTTGCTTGGCCAAAAAAGACTTGAGGTTAGATCTTGGGTGAATTCTCAAGAGTTTAGAGTAGATTCTACAGCTGTGTGCATCGATAGCGAAATGTAGTTGTAAGTGCCTCCTCCTTTGGAAATCCACACCCCACATGCACCACCACGAGACAAGTGACACCCTTCAGTATGGAATGAGTTTTAAAAGATAAAAGGACGTGAGACAGCCTGGCCATTTTGATGGGTTTTCAAATGCCCTACTGCTTCTCTGTTTGCAGTGAATGGTTTCTGTAATATTCTGAGAGGTGTAAAGAAAGTTCATCCTCTCCTCCAGTAAACTAGAGACTGGGCTAGTTACCATTGGTTTGTGGAGAAGGGACTCTATCCTTTAGGGATCCTGACGTGCGGAAGGAGGTTCTGTTGCAGTGACTTGTTCCAGTTCCTTCTGTAAAACAAACACGTAAACGAAAAGCAAAAATCTTAACAAGAGAAACCAACAATGAAAACCTTACTATATAGGATATGTTTTTCAAGGGCTTGGTTTAAAAAATAATACACCTCATATGGAACAACTGATTTCTAATGTTTTACGAAATCCTATCATTTCAGCGCTGTAATTAAGATAAAACAACCAAATTTAAGGCATAAGGCATTTCCTTCATTTAATGTTAACGTGTTAGAGAAGTTGCTAGATTGTTGCTAGGTAAAAATGATCTTGAGAGGTTTGTAAGTTCGTTCAATATCATACACAAAAAGGTTTTGTTTTATTTTTATTTTAAGACTTTTTCACACTACTCTGGATGGCGGAGGGGGGGCGGTGCGGTTTCCTAATTCTCTACAGGTTTGGGAACTTCTCAGAGCTGAGAGATTGTAATGTATCATTTACTGACTTTGCATGATACCTTTCTTTTAGTGAACCTATTGGAGAAATAAACATTTAAGCCAAAGGAAAGAAAGTATACATTTAAATAAAACTAAGTATCCAGGGAAATCTTTGATACAAAGTGTATTTTCTAAACATTTATCCACTTATTTTTTTGAGAGGAGGGGTTATTTGTTTCTCTGCATTAAAAGGTTAATTCTGAATTAAATGAAATCCTCGACTTTAACTAATGGAAGGGGAGAGATAAAAGGTGAGGCAGCGACAGTTTCTCCGTGAGGGGAGTGCAGTCAGGGATGCACTTTAAAGGCTGATAATCAGCCCCTCAAAAAATCTCTACCTTTTCTCATCATCAGACTAGCAGATTAAGAGGACTGGGAAAGGATTTAGATCATTTGTCAATAATAATGACTACACGGAGCTTCATTATGTAGAAGGTGTTGTCTGCACATTCGGTGTACTTTCATGAAAATGCCATGGAGTCCAAATTTACTTAAGCAACCCTAAATTAATGTTTCCTAGTCTGGGTTTCTGAAAGTTCTCTCATGTGTCCGGAAAAGCCTATTTTTCTTCTCTTCCTCTCCCTGCCAACTCACATATTCACCTGAATTAGAACCCAGCTAAAGACAATCTATTTTCCACAGTCCTCCCTGTGGAACTGATTTTTATGGTGAAGAGTTCTGTATAATTATATACCTGTCTTCCTCATTATTTTGTCTCAAGGATCTACTCTTGATAAGTGGCTACAAACATTTAGAAACTTGCAAGTAAGTAGTGGGTTTTAAAGGGTTGGAAAACACAAACTAAATCTAAGGAACATATTTCCATAGTAAGAAGTTGGTAAGAGCACCCTCCCACAAATTTTAAGTAAATTTATTTTAATTATTAAACTGCACAAATTAAAAGATACCACTGTCTTGTATTGGTGTAACCACAGTTATACCATACCACAGCATTGCCATACAATCACTGTTTTATAAAACATTTTCTAGTTCCTCATTTTAAAGTAATGTGGACTGATTCATTAATCAGAAGAATATCTTTTTTTTGCCAAACAGACTGATTGGGTAATTTAAATTTTAGTTCCCCTCCTTCCTGGCAACAAGAGAGTTAATTGGATCTCCCCCTCCTCCCACCTCTCTGTGTAGTATTTGTTTCTAAGTGAGTTTATTCAAATTGCAAAAAGTAGCAATTTGTTTCAGATGACAATTACTCTAAAATATTTTGTATTTAATTTGTTTTTGTTGGAGGTTTTACTTGTGCATGAAAGAAAAAATTTTCTCATTTTACTAATGGCTGTTATTCAATCAAAGTAAAACTGACATTTTTGGATCTACTGGTCAACTTGTTTTAAATATTTGACTGCTTAACTATCATTAAGGTTAGATAAGTATTATGTAGATTTATCTGATTATTTTTTGTAGCAAACTCATTTTTGATTTTTAATAGGAAAAGTTTATTGAATTTACTGCTCTGTTTTCTCAATACAGAATGGTACAAAATAAAAAGCAAAATTTTACACTATACTTTTATTTTCATTACTCTTCTCAGAGACAACCATTCTTTATTATTTTTATTTCTTTTGATTGGTTTAATTATATTAATGTACTTTATAATAATCCAGAATGCTAAACTAAATTCCTCGACAATTAGAAACTTTTACCTGATTCCTCTAATAGATCTTCAGGTTTATATTTCAATATGCATATAATGAAAGGGACATTATTAGAGAGTTATGAAATTGTTTTGTTTTGTTTTTTTAAATAAAAGCTAATTTCTTTTCCTAAAGGTGATGATATATTTGTCTGTGAAAGTAAAACACAAAAGATGCTCATTAGTGTTATCTTTTATTTTTTTCTAGTTGTAATTATTCATTATGTTTCCACTGACTGAGGAAAACAAGCATGTGGCCCAGTTGTTGTTCAGTACTGGTACATGTCCAAGATGTATCTTCAGATTCTGTGGTGTGGATTTTCATGCACCTTACAAACTTTCCTATGAGGTATTTTTTTTTTTTTAAGTTAAGAAAGTTCCTCTATTTTTAAATGAATATCTGTATATTTGAGGGCAAGTATGTATTCATAACTTATTAAATTGAAAAAACTATAATAAAATAATTATTGCTAATGCTAATTTTGGAACCTCCATTACCATAAAAATATAAGTTCCTTCTTAAGTGATTGTATCTAGTATTTAATATAGGGAGATCTTTGCAGATCAATTCTC